TTTGATTTTCTTATTGTGTTTACAGTGGGCCTAATCTTGAAGGCTTGGGCATCCTTGGGTGCTAAGAGGTAACACAGGACGTTGAGTGTCTACTGGCCACTGGTCTAAGCACTTTATGGATGTCCCCTTCCAGCTACCTAGAGTGGCTACTATTATTGCCCACATTTCACAGAGGGGGAACTGAGGCTCAGAGAGGGCAAATATCTTCCCAGGGTCACACAGGGAGTAACCTGTTTCCAGGCCCATCAGCCCACTCCAGAGTCTGCCTTTCAAGACAGGATTTTGGCTGCAGCTTGCTCCCAAGAAGCTGTAGTTTTCAGAGGGCAAGTTGAATGACCCTTTTCCCAGGCCTTGAGCCAGGTTTTCCTTTTCTGGAGTTCTCTTTCTTTGAAGTTGTTCAGGGATAAACTTCCAGAAATCACTGTCACATGTATGTGTTCAGTTCCATTCATTAGAGCATCCAAAGCGAAGGAGGCGCTTGTTGTTCTTACCCTGGAACCTGGAGTCTGCAGGTGAGATGATGTAAAGTTAGACAAGTGCCAGAAAGAGGAGATGTTGGGACAATGAAGGGCACATCTTGTCTACTAGAGGGAATCAGGAAAGGCTCCATGGAGGAGGTGGTGTTGAGGTGAGCTTAGGAGGACTGTTCAGGTCATTAGGTTGACATGGAAATGGAAAGTGGGCCAGGTAAGGTAAGGACTTGAGCAGTAGGTGGGCTCTGGGAGCATGTGAGTGAGCTGGGCTGGGGGGTAGCTGGGGAGGAGGCTGCAGGGGAGGGGAGGAGTGGGGCTTCTTGGGGTCGTGTGTTGGACAGAGGAGAAGCTTCTAGGTAAGAGGGAAAGGGATGGCAGCCTGAGGGCATGGGCAACTGGGCTTCAGTGCCACTGCTGGATAGTGTCTGAATCCACGGGGTGCAGGGAGCAGTGGCTCCGGGGAATGTCTGCCTCTGTAATACCTGCAGGATGCGGCAGGTGGGGGACTCAGATGACTCACCGTGGTATGGGACCAGCTGGGCGGCGAGGGGAAAAATTTGGGTGGGTGGATGGGGCCTTGGAGATGGTTTACTGCTTGTAGGGAAGTAGCCACCTCATGATGTGGCAGAGGCCTGCCCCCAGGCTTGCGGAGGAGAGGAGGAGGGATGGCCAAGGTGAGCTGTCCTCTGGCTGTCATGACCCTGATGAGGGTAGAAAGGGCCAAGGTCCAGAAGCTTTGGCTCCTTGAAGTAGACATGATGCCCCAAGTCATCTCTGCTCTCCCTCTTCCTCCACCCCTTACCCCTCTTTGGAGTCAGGCAGACCAACTGAATCCTAGGTCTTCCCTTTACCAGCTGTGGAGCCTGCTTACATGGCTTTGAGTCCCATCTCTCACATCTGTGAGATGGAAGAAGGATTACATCTTCCTTGTAAGATTAAAATTACTGATTAAAATCAGTAGAAAGAGGTCCATGGTTGGCTCGGTGTGGGCACATGGTAAATATTGATAACTCGTAGCAGCGAACATAATCAGTATAATTGTTCTGTTACCCACCTCTGTCCTCTCTCCTCAGGTCCCCACCCCGCTCCAGCAGAGGTATATATGACACTCCTCTTTTGCTCTTAGCCCTGAGGGCTCCCTCTTTGTCCAGCTCATGACCTACTCACACTTGAGCACAGTTACCTGCAGCTTTGCCCTGGTCCTTGGGCCTCCACAGGGGCCAGCAGCCTCATGGTTGCCATGCCCACTCTCAGTGGTGGGGCCTGCCATCTGGTAGGGTGGTAGGAAGCCAGGCCTGTGTGTGTGTGTGGTCAGCCAGGGCATCAGACCCAAGTGCCCGTCGCTTCTGTTTGTTAGGAAAAGAGGGGGTGACACCTGGGAGACCTTTTGCCTTTCCGTGTTAATAACGTCAGAGGCCTACTTTTTGTCTGATCCCTCCACCAACACACACTTACACCCACTCGCTCTCAAGCCCTCTTCCGTGGTTTCACAGCCTGCCCACACTCCTCCCCACCGAAGCCCTTTGCCTGCTTTGGGGGCTGGCATCTTTTGCCTCCTCATCAGGACCTGTGAGTGTTACTTAGAATTGTGCAGGAGTTGAGGCGGCTTCTGCTAGCCTGAGACGATAATTGCTCTATTTAAAGATGGCCCTGGAGCCAGAAGAAGCCAGGTGTCCCCATGTGTCTGTTGTAGAGCTGCCTTATGCTCAGTGGCTTGTGCAGGGGGTGGGGGCAGGGCAGGAGGTCCTAGGCAGTTGCCTCAGTGGTATCCGCCTGGCATCCCTCTCTGGGCTCATTTTTTTCACTGGTTTTGTGTGCCATTTGGCCAGAGGAAGTAGAATTGCTACCTGGTTCTCAGGGAGGCTGGGAAAGCGCTGCTGGCCTTGAAACCAGCTTCTTAGTTGTCAGAATGACCAGGAGGATTTGGGAAGAATGAGTTGGACCAAATAGCACCTCACAGCCTGTTCGCCCCTCCTGAGAACTTTTCCAATCCCTTTCCTGTAAGGAACTCTTGACTTCACCCGCAGGCCTGCCTTTGTCCTACACTAAGGTAATTCCTTCTCCCCTGCCAAGGTGGGGTGCTTTCTTCTTCTCAGAGCTCTGCTCATCCATGACCTCATCCCTCTAAGGCAGACAAAACAAGGGTGGCAGGTTCCATCTTATAGCAGAGGCCTCACTAGTGGTGACCAGCCCAAGGCAGATATCCCAGATCAGCTGGGTAAATACCCTTGAGATGACTTCCCAGGACCTCCTGACTGCCTGAGTTCATCTAGCTGGTCTCTGGTAGAAAGACCCATGGCCCAGATCTCCTAAGGCCCAGCTCTCGGCTTCTTCCTTTGCCTTGTACTGTAGGCTACCTGGGAATTTGCTGGGTTGAGACCACTCCCAGGACACCTGAATGCCTGAGCATGCTTTGATCTCCAAAGGATAGCCCCTGCCACAAGGGCCTTCCTAGCCTGCTCTCCTCTTCTGCTCTTTTGTTTCTTTTGATGAGTGGCTGAGTGGGAGAATAGAGGGAATGTGAGCCCAGCTGTTGTTTGGAGAGGGAGGGTGAGGCCTGGGCACAGGGGATGGGAGAATGGGAGGAATTGCTCTTAGCATCAGTGAGATGGCAGTTCTGGCCAGACTGGGACAGCAGCCCCTCCCCTCTACTTCCACCTTCTCTGTGGAACAGGGAGGTGAGTGTGGTCTGCCTGGCAGCAGCAACATTGAAAAGGTAGCCTGTAGACCAAGGCGTTCCTTTTCACCTTGGTAGCCTCTCAGAATCCTGCCCTACGTGGTGGGTGTCCAACTAGGGGAAAGGATTCCTGTGATCAGAATTTGTCTCCAGTATCTATATCTGGGAGCAGGTGTGTGACTACATGTGTATCAGCCCTAGGTCTTCATGTTCCTGTGTCTGCCTCAGAGAGAGAGAGAGAGAGAGAGAGAGAGAGAGAGAGAGAGAACGCATGTGTGCACGTACCAGCTTGAACTATGGGCCCCTCTGTGAATGGCTGTGGATGTGAACTCTGGGGTTTTCCTGCTGCTGTTCTTTCATCTGTTCATTCCTCCCTGCCCCCACCATTTCTGTAATCAGGGCTTCTGATGCCATGGAGAAGCCCCTGCTTGCCTTGCACTGCCCACTCTGATACCCAGAATTCTAGAGAGAGGTCAAAGCAGCCTTGCCCTCCTATGTTTCCCCTGCTGGGTTAGCCATGCCATGGACCTGCCATGTCTGATGTCTCACCTCATGCTGGAGCTTGAGCCTCCTCCATCCTGATCCTCCCTTTCTGCCTTTCCTCACCACTGGTGTGGACAGGAGGCTGCCTGTGTGTCTCTTGAAAAGGGAAGTGGAAGGCAAAGAAGGAAAGCACCATTTATGGAGTGCTTCCAGTGTCCCCACCAGTGTGCTCGGTGTTTCACACCCCTTCAGACCCTCCTGCAATGGGAGACCTAAAGATACTCCCTCTGAAGACTGGTTAAGCTGGTGGTCTTCCAGCAGTGGGCAGGCAGGTTGGAAGCTAATGGTAGGCAGGGAAACCTGCCTTCTTTGTTTTGCTTTCCTTTGCTCTGACCACTGGGCTTCCCTGTGCCAGGCTTAGGGCATCCATGGAGCCAGGCTGTGCATAAGCTGACTGCCCTCACTGGTGACTTCTGGCAGTGCCAGCAATGGGGAATTCACCCTGAGGGAGCCTATCCCCAGCCATGAGCTGGTTGTTCCACACCAAAACTACTCAGGGAGAGTGACCCCCTAGTAGTGACCCCATGTAGACCCTGGGTTCCTTTCCATCATTTAAGCTCTGCCCAATGCAAGGTGGTAGGCTATGAACCTAGAATCAAAGACTGCCATTTGCCAGACCTGCTTGCAGTCCTCCTTGGCAGGTTTTAGATGTGGGGAATGACTTGAGCCAGAACCTCCTCCCTGAATTATGGGGCACTGTAGCAGATCAGGGCTCTCTGCCTGTCCCAGTGCCCAATATGTGCCTCTCTAAGACCTCAGCCATGTTGTGCCCATGGTCAGAGAAGGACCTACTCTGCCCCTGTTTCCTATGACCCCCAGGAGTCTAGCTTCTGTGGGACTCCCACCTACTAACCCTTTAACTCTTCTGCACTTGCCTTGACTTGAGTAGGGGGAGAGGGTTTTGGGGGAAGGGGCCAGAGACCCTATTTCCTTTTCTCCCACCTTCAGGTCTTAAGATGACTCTGGGCAGCCGTCCTGCTCCCCTACCGCTGACTGAATCATTTCTATATTTGGCCAGTGAGCCACGTGGGTGGGGAACCACTGCGGCTGCACTTCTGACAGCTGTGGGGGGTGGGGGCAGGGGCTGCAGGCGGCAGAGGCTGGGCAGTAGGCATGTGCATTCTTTGGGAGAACTAAGGCGCCATCAGAGTGAGTAAAGCCCTGAGAAAGGGCATGCGCCAACACCTCCCTCTCCTCCCTCTCCTCCTGCACGTTCTGGTTTCAGGGTCGGCCTTCTCTGCCCCACCCCTTCCCCTGGATGCCCTTCTCCCTTCAGCTAGTCCTCACAGCAGTCTCTTCTCCCACAGACCACACCGCCCTCCAGAAACCATGGGTGTCTCTAGACCCAGCTGCGACTCTGCCAGACTCTGGTGCTCAGTTTAAGATAAGGATAATCTCCCAGGCCTGCTCTCCCTGCCTGTCATGGCCACACTCCGATGCTGCCCACTTGTCTGGGGACACAGGGCACCCAACCCTAGCCCTGAGATGTTAAGCCAGGCCTTCTGGCTCCAGTCTACAGGGGCACTGCAGGCCCTGGGCTCCCTTCAGAGCAAGAGCAACTGATGCCATGGGAGAAGCCCCTGCCTACCCATCCACTTGCCTGGCCCTGCCTGCTCTGATACCCATGCATTGGGTCTTCCTGCAGGTGCCAATCCTGTGAGTCCCTCCCCAACCCCCTGACACTGAGAAGGCCCTGTCCACCCCCACCATGTGTGAGGTGATGCCCACAATCAATGAGGGGGACCCCCTAGGGCCCCCCCACGGCGCCGATGCTGACGCCAACTTTGAGCAGCTTATGGTGAACATGCTGGATGAGCGGGAGAAGTTGCTGGAGTCCCTTCGGGAGAGTCAGGAAACCTTGGCAGCCACGCAGAGCCGGCTCCAGGATGCCCTGCATGAGCGGGACCAGCTCCAGCGACACCTCAACTCTGCCCTCCCTCAGGTAAGGCCTAAAGCTCTGCGCCTCCCTCAGTCCCTCCCTCTGCCCCTCCTCCAGCCCTGTGGAGTCCAGCAATCCTTGGGCCCTCAGCAAAACTGTATCTACCTGCATATCAAATAGTGGAATTTACAGAACATTTACTCTCCATCTTGCTACGTAAATCCTTTCCCTGTCACTCCCAAGTGTCTCAGCCTGGAATTGGCTTCACCTGGAGAAATGGGTGGAATTTGATTCAGGGAGAAAACCCAGCCCTAGTTGCCAACTGCAGTGAGCCAAGTCTGCCAGTAGATGGCACCCTATGCTGGAAAGAAAGACTGACTGCTTCTCACCAGAGGCCTATTCTTGGAGGTGGAGGGAGAGGGGGAGGGGAGAATCACAGAAGTGGAGGTGGGAGCAGCTTTAGAGCTCATTTAGTCCAGCTCCACTATTGCACAGACATTACATGGGCAATTATAGACAGAACTGAGTATCTTAACATCCCGTTTCATGTACCTCACCAGCATTGCTACTAGCTCTAACGTAGTTACCCTTTACAGTGTATTTTCTAAGGACTGAGCCTTCTGGAGGGTTTATCTCACTAGATTTTCAGAATGATGAAGTTGGTACTGTTATTATCAGCATCCTACTTCACAAGTGATGGAGTTTAGGGAAATGAACCCCCTGCTCATGGCCATGCAGGAGTTGACCCCTGAAAAGCTATGTGCTTCCAGGGGCTGTGTCTCAGCCACCACCACATTTCCACTTCAGATCATTGACCCAGAAGCTCTGTGTTGCTTCCTGCTCATCCATCATTTCGTAGATATTCCAGGACAAATGCGTGCTGTGGGAATGGCAAAGGGAGCAGGAACTGAGTTATCCTGCTGCTTGTCAGAGAAGGCGTGAACCCTGCCTGGTAACCAGGCCCCAGATGGGGTGGGGCAAGCACAGTGCTCACAGTAACTGCTTACACGTCCTGCTTTCCACCTCCTTTTAGGAGACAGATGGGTATGGAAACCAGACACTAGATTCATTGCATAGCACGCCTGGGGCAGGTGCGTGCCCTGCAGGGGCTGAGGGAGGCAGCCTGAGTTGCCTAACACCTCAAGCCTCAGAGACAGGCCCTTTTCCTGTCTCTGAGGCTTGAGGTATAAGGAGAAGAACCAGGACTGGGCCTGAGTGGGTGAGTTTTCGGCTCAGGGCTCAAAAGTGACAGGAGGCTCAGTCTTGGATGCTTTCTCAGTATGAATATTTAGCCCTGGTGAAGAGGTGGGATGGGCAGGTGGCCCCTCCTACCTCACTTTGCAGGAGGCCCTGAGCATGCCCTGAATGAGCCAGTTCCTGCTCCCAAGGAGCTCAGGGATGAGAAAGGAGACATAAGAACCCAAAAGACTAGGAGAGAAGGTAGAGAAAGGTAAGAGAGGCCTGAAGGGATTGTTAAACACAACATCAGTGATAAAAATAGCTGCTTTTGTGGGCTTGTGCTAGGTACTCTCTGTATATTGGGTTCATTTAATCCTCCTATGTAATTCCTGGAGAGACTGTTTACCTCTGCCTTACAGATCAGAGAATGGGTTCAGAGAGGTTAGGTAATTTGTCCAAGGTCACATAGCTAACCAGAGCAGAGCTGAGATTTGACCCCAGGCCTGCCTGATTTCCTCTACTGGAAACTTCATGAGGGTAGAGGTTGTATCTTTCTTGTCACTGTGTCCCCTGTGACCGGCACAGGACCTGGTATTCACATATATTTGTGGTTGGATGGTAGACTCCCCAGCTAGTGCTCTTGATGTTTGTTCAGAAATGTTTTCAAGGGATAGAGGGAGACTTCCACTGGACAGCCTAGACAGTTCCCAGGAGGCTGGAGCCTTTGAGATGGGCTTTGAAAGAGGAATTTTCTCATCAGGTGGTGACAGAGGCTTGTGCTCTGCAGTGAGAGGGGGACTGCTGAGCTAAGGTTGGCATTAGAAAGTCTTGCTGGGGTTTGGAAACAGCAAGTAACCCAGGTTGACCGGGTCTTAGGGTGAATGCAAAGGAACCGTGAGAGAAAAGTTTGAAAACCATTGTAAGCTTGCGTTTAACTTTGTGGACAGCATTGTGCTTTGGGAATAATCCTGGTAGCAGTCTGTCAGATGGGTGAGTTGAGGAGGGAGGGGAAAGATATCCTAGGATGAGGACACCAGGTAGTGATAAGCCTAAAGCCAGGGAAGGGAGAGCTTCACAGCCCTTTGGTGGTGGTGTCATAGTATAGGGCTGGGGGCATGCCATTAAGTCCTGTCTCTGTGTCCAAGACTGTGTGTATGTGCATATGTGTGTGAGTGTGTGTGTGTGTGTGTGTGTGTGTGTGTGCATGAAGGTATGACCGTGTGCATGCATGTGTGTAAACTGAGGGGTGAAACAGCATCAGGCTCAGGCCTCAACTGCCAGAGGGTGGAATGCTTGACCTTGATTGTCTTTGGCCATATCCTTGATAGAAAAGCAATAGTCAAGGAATAGAGTCAGAAGTCCTTGTTTTCTTGTGCTCTGGAAGGGATAGTCTCTTCTTCTTTCCTACAACTCTTTTGCCTGATCCAGAGTGATAGTGGGACTGCTTTGGGAATTCTTCATTGGTCGGGAATTCTTGGTGTGCAAGGGAAGCTGCAATGCTGGGCAGGGCTGAAGCTTCTGTTCAGTTTTCTCAGACTTTGGAAGCCATAGAGTTTGGGCCATTCATCTGAAAATCTTTCTGGAATGAGGTGATGTTGATTAAATAGATAGGATATGATGGACCTGGAGCTGTGGGGCTGTTCTCTCACCTTAGATGCTTGTGTTGGTGGCAGAGGTGAGCTGGAAAGGTCATTGAAGTGTCTGGGCTTGACATTTATGGATGGGTCCCCCTCAAAGGAATATTTGGTACATGAGTATTCAGTGAAGCCAGGGCATAGGTCTTAGTATCAGGTGCTGGCATGAAACCCTGACCTGATTTGGCAGGGCTCCTGGGAAGCCAGGGCTGAAGCCGCATGGCCAGCTGTTTGGGCAAGTCCAAGTACCCTCCTGCTCTCATGTAGGTGGTTCCTTCAATCCACTTGTCTCACAGGCCACCGACAGCTTGCAAAGCCCTGGGGAGGGTATGGAAGAGAGCTCCCTGGGACTCAGTCAGACTTAAGCTTCAGAACACGCTTCTCTTCCCCCGTAACCTCTGTCAGCTTCTGGTGAACCTCACTTGCCCAAACCAGTGGCAGCCTACCTCTCCATCAGTGTGTAAACGAAAAGGCCATTGAATTGCTGGAGAACCAGAAGGCTGAGTAGGAGGGTCAGCAGAATCTGGTCACAATTACTGGCAGGGGAAGGGGCTGCAGAGCAGACTTGGTGGCTTTCCCATTTCTGTGTGCAACTATTTCCTCAGCTCCTAACCCACACCTGGATTGCATGGAGCCCTCTGGGGAAGCTCACACCAGTTGCGGGGTTACTGCCCTGAAATGTGGGTGGATCAGGACTTTCTGGGGGGGGTAGGTGGAGGAAGGGATGGGTGAGAGGAGACCCCCATGGATCAGGTGTGAGGATGCTGCTTAGGGAGTGAATCCCCATGTACTAAGGAGTCTTGGGGGTCTTCAGGAATTTGCCACCTTGACCCGGGAGCTGAGCATGTGTCGGGAGCAGCTTCTAGAGAGGGAGGAAGAGATATCAGAGCTGAAAGCAGAACGGAATAACACAAGGGTAAGTGGAGATCACCGGGTGCGTGTCTGTGTGTGTGTGTGTACCTTGACCAAGGCAGGACCAGGGCCAGGTATAGCCCCACCCCATCCCGACCTTTGCCTGCTTCTCATCCTAGGGTCATAGCCAGAAAATTTAACCATCAGTACTAGGCTTTCCCCCTGCCGTTGGTGGGTCATAGAAACTCAGAGTCCTGGGGGAGAGGCCAGGACAACTGAGTTAAGGCCGGTATTTAATTGAAGAGCAGCTATTTACCAAAGTGGAAGAATGTTAGCATTTTAAGGATGGTATGGCTGTATTTGTGTCTATTTGGTGATCACGTAGGCCCTGCCTGTGGCCCCTGGAGCACATGCTCAGAGTCTTCCCTCCTGTCTTCCCCTGCTTCCTGCCAGCTGCTTTTAGAACATCTGGAGTGCCTGGTGTCCCGCCATGAGCGGTCACTGCGGATGACGGTGGTGAAGCGCCAGGCCCAGTCACCTTCAGGGGTCTCCAGTGAGGTGGAGGTGCTAAAGGCCCTCAAGTCTCTGTTTGAGCACCACAAAGCCCTGGATGAGAAGGTATCCCTGCCCCTACTCTCTCCCCAATCCAACCAAGCTTCCCTTCTCTGAGATTTCTGCATTCAGTGTTTAGGGAAATCTAGCTTCAGAACTGGCTTACTCCTACTGTGGGCCTCATTTCAAGTCCTATTAGGTTCCCTCCTAGGATTTTACCTCCTGTTGGGCCCTTTACTTTCCCTCATGCCTGACGCTGGTAGACCAAGGTCAGGCTTCTTCAGCCTGGGTCTAGTGAGTCCCCCTTTCTTCCTCCATCTCCTCTTGTCTTGGGCAGGTTCGAGAAAGGCTCCGGGCAGCACTGGAGCGGGTTACCACCTTGGAGGAGCAGCTGGCAGGAGCCCACCAACAGGTAAACTGCCCACTTTCAATTTATAGTTGGCAGCTCCTGGAAGTCCAGCTGGCTGGCCCCTTAGCCCCACCCTGTTCCTGTTGGGATTCTTCCTCACTGTGGCTGGAGTAGCCAAGGCTGGGCCAGGCACTCCTTTCCAGAAAGTGGAAACTTAGAAGGGTCTGGAATGTGTAGGAAGCACTCTTTGACGCACTGCCCTGGGCCTGTGCCCTACAGGTGTCTGCCCTGCAGCAGGGGGCAGTGGTGCGGGATGGAGTGGCAGAAGAGGAGGGGACTGTGGAGCTGGGACCGAAACGTCTGTGGAAGGTGGGTAATGGGGAGCAGTATAGCAGGGCCTGTGTTCCCCAAGACAGGAATGGGAGGCCCTGCCCACTGACTTCAGTAGAGAAGCTGCTAAAATTAAATGCAGAGCTTTCTACAACATTCTCACTTCCCTCCTCCATCTTCAAAGAAATCTATCATCTCTCTATTATTCTATCTGTCTATTGGTGCTAGGTACATAATATGTTTGTCCACTGGAATTGTTAGGAGCCATCTGCCTGTATCAGTATCAGGCAAGATGCCTTCTATCTCTGAGCCTTTGTTCCTTAATTATGTTCCTTTCTGGGTTGAAGAGGCTGAGATAACAGATAAAACTAGAAACTTTTGTTTTTCAAGAGATACACAGCAGAGCCAGGGTATTTGGGTATTGTCAGGAGTGAGCTGCTGGGGCCCAGGGAAAGAAGGTGTACCTGGAGGTGTGCTCTGAGGTCAGGGCAGAGCTGTGGTCTATCGTGGGTGTGTGGCCCCTCCTACCATTTCCCTGGGGCAGGGCAGGGTGTAGGATGCCCTAGGCCTCCATGATTGACTGACTGATGGCTCACTGTCCCTGGAGGATGACACGGGCCGGGTGGAGGAGCTGCAGGAGCTCCTGGAGAAGCAAAACTTTGAGTTGAGCCAGGCCCGGGAGCGACTGGTCACCTTGACAGCAACCGTAACAGAACTTGAGGAGGACCTGGGAACAGCCCGCCGGGACCTCATCAAGTCAGAGGAGCTGAGCAGCAAGCATCAACGGGACCTCCGAGAGGTGAGGAAGGGTCTTTCTTCAGTCACTTCATCCCACTGAGTACAGGTGTTTGGCATCTGGGAGAGTGTGGACAAAGGTCCAGGCAGGAGCCGGGAAGTATAAGATTGAACACTTGGCAGGTCTGGTGTGGGGAGGAGTAATGGGGGTTTTGGTTACGGCCAGGAGTTGACAGGGGAGATCATGTTTTCTGGGTTATACCCAGCTAGGTATTGTGGGAGGTGCAGAAAGGAGCAGGGCAGCAAAATCTGGTGACCTTTCCCCTCTGCTGCCACCCAGGCTCTGGCTCAGAAAGAGGACATGGAAGAACGAATCACCACACTGGAGAAGCGCTACCTAGCTGCACAGCGTGAGGCCACATCCATCCATGACCTCAATGACAAACTGGAGAATGAACTGGCCAACAAGGAGTCCCTGCACCGCCAGGTAACTCCTCCAGATGGGGCAGGGTGGGCATTGTACTTCACCCTTGAGGTTCTAATGATCCTACTCAAACTATCCCATGGTGGCCCAGGAGCCCCTGGGATCCTGAAGATTCTCTTGGGAAAGGGGAAGTCAGGCATCTTGGGCAGTCAGGAACCAACCCTTGCAACTTCTGACCTGTTACTTGCTCCCTGCTGTGGTGGGGTGGGGTGGGGGTGTTCAGTGCTACCCCTCTTGAATTGCTTCCCTACCCACATTGCTAGTGTGAGGAGAAGGCTCGACACCTACAGGAGCTGTTGGAGGTGGCAGAGCAGAAACTGCAGCAGACAATGCGCAAGGCAGAGACACTGCCAGAGGTGGAGGCTGAGCTGGCCCAGAGAATCGCAGCTCTCACCAAGGCAAGTGGGCTGAGCCTGGGATCTGCCTCTGTCCCCTATGTCCAGTGGAGCCAGCCGTTGTGGGACCAGGCAGGGAGTGGACAGAGTGGAGGGCACATGGGGCAGGGAGCCAGAGAACTGCTCACTGTGTGATGCTGGGAGTACACTACTTCATGTCTGTCAGTCTGAAGAGGAATTCCTGCCCTCTTAACCCCAAAGAGATGTAATGGTCCCATAAGAAAGGGTAAAAATACTTGAAAGAGAAGAAACCACACTGCTGCAAAGTATATTTATTATCATGACACCATTGTGGTTGATACCTCTGTTTGTTTAGGACTAGAGAGGGAAAATTAGGATTTTCATCTCTGGAAAAATGAAACTAAGGGGAGATATGATCAAAGTCTGTATATCCCTGAAGGGGATGCAGGGTTGCACACATCTTTCTTTACCAAATTGAAGCATTCTAGATCTAGAAACAACCCTGTTAGCCTAAAACTTTAAGATGAATAAAATACAATATAATTTACCTAGTGGAGAGGTAATTTTATGGCGTAGTAATTCCTAAGAGGTATATAGGCAGATATCAACTCGGTCTGGAAGAGCTAAATAAATGCATGGCCTTAGATGTCTGATGAGTAATTACATACTAGGAGTCTTTTTAGCTGGTTGGAAGCTTTTGGGGGCCTCATGGGGTATAACCATAGCTACCCTCAAACTCAGGGATAGAAGAAACCAGTTTTTAGCAAGCACCCAGCCCCAGAACCTTTGAAGGATAAGATGCTGGCCAGTGTGCCAGTATGGCGTCTCAGGTGCTCTGGAGCTGGAATTCACAGCATCAGTAGGCCCAGGACCAAGTCTGCTTCTGCCACTGACTGGCTTTCTGATTTGGGAAAAGTCACACCCCTCCATAACCGGGCCTCAGTGTTCTTACCTCTATGGTGGTGCTGTTGGCCTTGGTGATCTGTTTAGAGTCTTTCCAGCCCCTAGGAATGGAGGGTTAGGTTTAAGTTACAGCAGAGGATGTTATGTGTGGGATGCTGAGCAAAAACTGACAAGAAGGGATGGGCTGAAGTGATTAATATGTTCAAGTGAGTCATAGCAGGAGGAGTTAAAGGAAGGCTTTCCTGACTGTAAGATGCGTGGTATTCTGGAAAATCTTGTCAGCAGAAATAGGGTCTCCATCTCTGGAGATACTTGACAGGAAGGGAGAACACTCTACCTGGGCTGGTTTAATAATAAAGGTAATAATCATGATGAGGCTAGTATGTTCTAAATGTTTACTAGAGCATTTCATTTAGCCCTTGAAATGGGCCAGTGGGCATAGGTGCTTCTAGTCAAATTTTATAGTTGAGAAAATCAGGCACTTAGAAAGTTCAAGGTCACATTATTGGTGAAAGATTTGAACCCAGGCTGCCTTGCCTGAGCCTGTGTACTCAAGTACAATTCTATTCTATCTGGAAGCACAAGATGTATGGTAGCTCATGCTTTCAAATGGAGTTTTTTTTTTTTCTGGAAACTTGGGGAGGATTTACCAGCTTTGAGCCAGGGATCTTCGCCTAGCCAGCTCCCCAGTTCTGGCTAAGGCCAGAGCCTTCCCCGCCCAGTTCGGACCAACCCTCCAGGCCTGCCTTCCCAGCACACCTTTCCAGCCTTCCCTCCTAGCTTCCCCCAGCTTCTGTCAAGGTAGCACTCAAGCGTTCCAGCCTGGTCCCTGACTAGCTCCTCACATCCCAAAGCCTCGCCCTCCAGGCCGGCCCCGCCCCTGCTCTCCACTCCACGACCCTTGAGTTGCCAGCTCTTGATGCCAGCTCTGAGCAGGAACCCAAGAAGGACCTGGCAGGGGAGTTTCTGGGGGAAGAAAGGTAGTGCTGATGGTGATTTGCACCAACTTGATAGGTGGAGGGCTGGGTTTCCTTGGCACCTGAGGCCCTGATCACTCAAGACTGCCCTAGCACCAGGATCCACGGGATATGGGGCCTGAGCAGGAGGAACAGAGGTCTCCAGGATGCACTGACCTATTCCTGCCTCTAGGCTGAAGAACGGCATGGCAACATTGAGGAGCACCTGCGGCAGCTGGAAGGGCAGCTGGAGGAGAAGAACCAGGAATTGGCAAGGGTGAGGGCATGAGGCTGGGCTCTTGGGTGACCTCCCTGCCCTCGGGGCAGGCTCTTAGGTACTGTTAGCGGAGGGGCACCAGGGAAGGACCTGGCCAAGGGAGAGAGCCCACAGGGTGAGAGGAGCCCGCAGCTAGGGGAGGAGGTGTTGAGAGAGCTGGAGAGAGGATCCCTGGGAGGATGGAAGACTGGGGACAAGAAGGGGACAGGTAAAGCAGGCAGGTAGAACCCCAGGGGAAATGGGTGGTTCTCGAGGAGGGCGGCATCGACCAGGCCCTGAGGTGGCCTTGTGCAAGGCGGCCCGCCTGTGCAGGTGCGCCAGCGGGAGAAGATGAACGAGGACCACAACAAGCGGCTGTCAGACACCGTGGACAGGCTGCTTAGCGAGTCCAACGAGCGCCTGCAGCTCCATCTCAAGGAGCGCATGGCCGCCCTGGAGGAGAAGGTGCAGGGGCTAGGGGGCGGGGCGGGGTGGGGCTACTCGAGGGGCGTGTCGAGTCGAGAGCAGGGGCGGGGCCGGCCTGGGGGCGGGGCTTTGGGATGTGAGGAACTAGTCAGGGGCGGGGCTGGGATGGGTGAGTGCTACCTTGACAGAAGCTGGCCAAGCTAGAAGCTTTTCCCGCTGGGGAGGGCGGGCTGGGGAGGTGTGCTGGGAAAGCAGGCCTGGAGCTGGCTGGGGAAGGCTCTGGCCTTAGCCGGAGCAAGGGAGCTGGCTAGGCGAAGGTCCCTGGCTCACAGCTGTTTTCCCCTAGAACACGCTGATCCAGGAGTTGGAGAGCTCCCAGCGTCAGATTGAGGAGCAGCATCACCACAAGGTACCCAGCTGCGGGGGCCAGCCCACCCAGCCTGGAGGGCCTGGGTGGCTGGGAGGAAAGGACATGCCTATTTTTCATGCAGCTGCTCTGATAACCCAGTATTGTGTTAGCTTCTGTTAGTTCATGTGCATTACATTATATCATCACTCTTCACCACCGCCCAACCCAGTAGATACACCACTACCCACAGTAAAAGAGTAACAGGCCATAAGCCTAGGGCATAGGATGGACAGCAGATTCAGGGCCCAACGAATGGCTTAACCAAAAGATTGGGTGGGGGCCTCAAACCCTGGTGAGGTAAGAGTCAGGTGACTCTGGGAAGATTGGCTATTGGCCCTGCCTCAGCTATGTGTGGAAGGACACGTGGGTTCTTTGCTGCTCTGCCTGGTTTGCCACACTTTTGTGTGGTGTTAAGAGGTCAGCTGGCTTATTCCAGGAGAGCCCTTCCCTAGACAACCCTCCCCTGCCTGGCCCCTCTGCCACCTTCTGCTCACTTTCCAGTTGTTCCTCTTCTCTTGGCCCCTGGCCTGGGGCCCCTGACTTTGAACTTTGCAGAGTATTCTTCTGCTTTCCCCAAACTCTGCTGTCCTTTTTGTCTCTCTCTGACTCCCACTCTCCCTCTCTGCCCTTCCCTGGCCCCCACCCCACCCTGGGTCTGCCTGGCACAGGGCCGCCTGTCTGAAGAGATTGAGAAGCTGCGCCAAGAGGTGGACCAGCTGAAGGGTCGAGGGGGGCCATTTGTGGATGGCATCCACTCCAGGTACTGGAGCGTGGGATGTGGGGTGTGCTGGGATGGGGTCCTGCTTGGACCCTGGGGAAGGAGACCTTCCCCCCATCAAAAGACCACCCAGGACCTCAGGGTTCTCCTCATATTCAGGGTGGGACACTGAAGCTCAGAGAAGTTGGTTAAGAGTCAATTTATCACTTGGGCATTTAGAAGGGGAGCTTTTGTCCTCTGAGGGGTGCAGAACAAGGATCAGATGATACTCCTTTCCTGCTGTCTTGGAACATGGGTCACAGGATACTTCCTACATCCTCAACAGAGAGTATGCCTTGGGAGGTGTCTGCCTGAGTTCTGTGCTCTCCCATGTTGCACAAGGTCCTCTGGTAGTGGTGGCCTTGAGACACCACCTTTAGGATTGCTGTTTGAGAGTTGAGAATCACCTGAGTTCAGGTAGGAGGCAGTGAGCAGAAAGGCATTTGGAGGGAATGGAAGTGAGGCAACAAAAACATCTTTCCTGTTGAAAGCTGAGGTTCCCTGTTATTCATGGTTGTGGTATGTAAGAGGTGGAGGTGGAGCTTTTGCCTCTGGATTTTTCTCCACATTTTGTGAAGCACTTGGCGTTGAACTCAGACCACAAACATGTCCTCAATTCTCAGCCCAGAGAAGATCGAGGAGAGTAAAGTAAAAGAGGGCCCTCAAGGTCCATGGCTCCCTTCTGTTCATGTTCTTGTCATATCAGAGATCAGCTACTATGAGGAAGTGTCACAGGGTATATATGTATGTTGAGGGGCAGTGCTTGAATTAGGGAAGAATGTTGAGCTTGAGAGAAGAGGCCTGTGGGAACCCCAGGGTGGTGGATACTCAAGTACCAACTTCAAGTTCATTGGGAATTACTGTATGAAGAGAAGCAAGGAACCAAGAAATATAATGGTAGCTGAGATTCTCCCTGTGGATTGGCTAAAAGGAACAGCCCTTCAATTAATAAGATTTGGCCCCAGCATACACCAAGCTATTTGCCACTGCTGCTTTTCCTTCCTAGCTGGGGGTTTTTGGCTTTGCCTTAGAATATCTGGACCTATCACAGAATTGGGACTGAGTTGCTGAGAGAAGAGCGAGCTAGGCTGCTCCCCTCTCAATTCAGCTATACAATCTCCTGGCCCCTTTGCATTGCTTTCTCTCAAGGGTCCCAAGCTGGGAGGTATTGGGAAGAGGCATCACAAGGAGGCTTCTTGACACTCCTGAGATTGTCACTGGGACCCTAAAATCTCAGGTTTGGCTAGACCTTTGAAGCAGTTAAAGTGGTATCTCTAGATACAGTCAGGGCCACCCAAAGCTTCCTAGGGATAGGGTCGGGGTGTGACTGGGACTCAGTCCAGATTATTGGGAAGCCTGAGAAAAGTTGCTAGGGAAAAGACCACAAAACAAAGACTGTCAGAGTTAAAGGACATCAGAGATCACCTTCCCAGTGCCCAGTGCCCCAAGCCTTGTACCGTTCTTAACAGAAAGCCAGAGAACCCACACTTGAAAACCTCTCTGATGGGAGCTCGACTTTTTAAAAGCATTGTAAGCCAACTCTTGCCATAAGAAGGTTTTTCTTAGGCTAAATGGAAAGCCACTCCCTAGAATTTTCTTCCCTGGGTCATCCTGACCCCTGGAGCACCAGAGAATAATTCTCATCTTGGGATCAGATGATAGCCCTTCAGACATTTCTGATAGCTGTGTGTCCTGTTAAGACTTCTCCAAGGTGAAGATCCCTGACTCTTTGAGCCCAGTGTGTGCAGGCTGGGGCTCTCAGTCCTCAGGACCTGTCATTTCTCTCCTTTCTACCACTCAAGGTCACACATGGGCAGCGCAGCGGACGTGCGGTTCTCCCTGAGTACAACCACCCACGCACCCCCAGGTCTGCATCGCCGCTACTCAGCACTGAGGGAGGATTCGGCTAAGGTGAGGGGGTGGCAGGGTGAGTGTGTGTGTGGGTCCCCCTGGGGAGTTTGGGGTCAGTTTGGCCGTGTGCCTGGCTCCAGTTACACCGACGGCTGGCGTGTGGTGCAAATCCTCTCCCCTGCCCTCCCCCATTTCAGTGACAGCTGCAGCCCCAGGGTTGGGGCCATTGTCAGCTGCAACAGCTGTGACCCCCCTTGCCTTGGCCTCCTGGTGGGCAAGAGGTAGGGGCTGGAAGGCGGCCAGCCAGTCCCTGAGGCCCCACTGAGGCATGTGTGCGTGTGCCTGGGTGTGCAGGCGTGTGTTTCTGGTGGCCGGAGCGGGGGGGGGGGGGGGGCTGCAGAGGGAAGGTGGAATTGGCTGGCTTCCTGAGACAAAAGCTGTGGTTACAGGGGAGATGAGGGAGGGATGATAGGTCTCCTGGCTCTGGGCTTGGCACCTGGAGCTTTCTGAGAAGCAGCTATGGGTTCTCGCTGTCTGAGTTGGCCTGGGGAGAAGGGGGGATGAGGAAAGAGGAGGGGCAGGAGGGCTGCCTTCCTTCTTTCAGGGAAGTCTGATTACTGCCTGGTCCTCAGTTGTCACTCATATTCTCTTGTGAGCCCAGGTCCCCCAATCTCTGGGGCCTTAGAAGTCATAGATGGAGGAAGAGGGAACTCCTGGTCTGTGGAGAGGGCATGTCCCTGCCCTTAGGGCCCTAGTCTGATGGCAGTGTGAGGGCACCTCTGTGTCTCACCCCTTTACTCTTCTAAGAACACAGCAGCTGCCCAGGGGCTCAGGATGAAGGCAGCAGGGGCTTGAACAAGAGTCCTCAGGGGGAGTTTGGGGACTTGGGTCCTAGAGACTGTGTGTTAGAGCTCCTCTGGCACCCCTCCTTGTCTCCCCAACTTTTCTGGCTCTCCCAGTCCACTCCTGTGCTCTCCTCCTCTTCTGGGTCTTTGTCTGTTGAAGAGGTTTGTAGATGATTTTTGAAAAGCCATCACCTCTGAAGGTTGTTCAGAGGGTCCTGTGATATGTTGAAATTATAAGAACACAAGACCTTATCTTAATCCCTGAATTAGTCACCATTTACAAGTTTGTATGAATAGAAACTAGTAACCTTTATATAGTGCCTATTTTGTGCCAGACCTGATTTTCTCATTTTAAACCTCACAACTACCTATGAGTTAGGTCCTGTTACTGTCCTGTTTTATAAATGAAAACATGAGGCAGAGAGAGATTACACAATTTTCCCATGATTGCACAGCTAATATTTGGTAGAGTCAAGATTCTAAGCAAGAGCTGGGCACAGTGGCACAAGCCTGTAATCCCAGCGGCTCAGGAGGCAGAGGCAGGAGGATCATGCGTTCAAAGCCCATCTCAACAACTTCAGGTGCTCAGAAACTCAGTGAGACCCTGTCTCTAAATAAAATATAAAAAATAGGGCTGGGGATGTGGCTCAGTGGTTGAGTACCCCTGAGTTCAATCCCCAGTACCCCCCCCCCAAAAAAAAAGATTCAAAGAAAGGCTACTTTTTTGGGATTCATCTCTAAATCACTCTGTTAGCTAGCTCCTTGAGTTAGAGCAGAATCTCCTAGACTTTCATATGCAAACAAATAATCTGGGAATCTTGTTAAAATGCAGATTTTGAATCAGTAAGTCTGGCAATGGGGCCTGAGATTCTGCATTTCTAACAAGCTCCCAGGAGAGGTCAGTGCTGCCCAGTGGCAGTGGGGAGGGTCCTGCTCCTCAGCCCTCTGGGGTGCCATTACTACTTCTTTATCTTTTTCCTTTGCAAAGGACTGGGAGCCATCTCCACTGCCTGGATTGTTGGCCTCCACAGCCACTCCTGCTTTTGACAGTGACCCTGAGATCTCTGATGTGGATGAAGATGAGCCAGGGGGTTTAGTGGGCTCCGTTGATATTGTCTCCCCTGGCGGCCATTCAGATGCCCAGACCCTGGCCATGATGCTGCAGGAACAGCTGGATGCCATCAACGAGGAGATCAGGTTGGGGCAGGGGTGGAGGGCCTGGGAAGTGCCTTGAAGGACAGAGGGCCCATTTCTTAGTGTTTGGCAATGCCAGAAAAAGTTCACGTCTTACAACTGCACCTTAGTACCACAGTCTAGGGACCTTCTCTGGGACATCAGATAAGGTTCTAGTCCAGTATTTCCCCCAAAGGGAAGCTGATTCTCAGGCTTCATCCAATGACGTGACTGGGTGTGGGATCATGGAGCTGTAGTCCTGGTATTCTTCCTGATCTCTAAGAGTATAGCTTCCATGGCTGAAGCCATCTCAGGGTGACAGCTTTGTGAATGTTACTGTCAGTCTTACTCTAATAAGTCCTACCCTGAGGTAGGTAGCATGATCTCTGTTTTATAGATAAGGGAACAGAAATTCAGAGGTTACGTGACTTTCCCAAAGCCATGTAGTAAGTGGCAGAACCAAGATTCAAACTGAAGTTGAATCTCAGTCCACTGGGCCTTGCCTTCTGTCCCTAGGAGGCATCACACAGGATCCAGTAGCAGGGAAAGTTGTCAAGACAGACCTTCCCTTGATCCTGCTTTTTAGTGAGTTTATTAATGTTAAGACAAACTGCCAGGAAAAATCTGAGCTGAGAGTGCAGCTCTCCAGGCTGCTGAGGTCATGTAGTTCAGTGGCTCCCAGCCTTGGATTTCACAGTTACAAAGAAGATACTGGCCTCTCCCACTACAGCAATAGGGAATTGCAATCATTTTGCTTTGCAAAGTAAATCATTAAAGAAAAATAACCACCATTGACCATCAAAGCCATTCTGAAAAAACAAAAGGACATTTTAACATCTAGAGTGGGAAAGATGTACTTTCAGAATAAAGACACATCCTTCTCCTTAAAGGACAGTTGGCACCTCTACTCCAGTGGGTGTGTGCACATGTTCCTTACTGAGAGTATATTCTATGTACACAAATGAACCATTATCATTATTTTTCTATAGAACAGGGAAAATCCATTGGGGAACAGAATCAATAAGGCATCATCTAAAAGTCCTGCATCTGGGAACTACTGAGACCCACTCCAGACATTGTATATGTTGGGAAACTGAGGCATTTAGAGCGAAGAGTCTGGCCTGAGGTCACCTCTGTTGTTAGTAGTAGGTTAAGAATTTGGACTTTGCTGGGTGCAGTGATGCACGTCTGTAAATCCCAGTGGCTTGGGAGGCTGAGACAGGAAGATCACAAGTTCAAAGTGAGCCTCAGTCACTTAGTAAGCTCTAGGTTGTTTAGCAAGACCCTGTCTCAAAACAAAAAATAAAAAGGTTTGGGGATGTCAGTGGTTAAGCACTCTAGGTTCAATACCCAGAACCAAAAAAAAAAATAAATAAATAAAATAGATGGACTTGTGTTTCATAGACTAAATTGCTTCCCTCCTCTGCAACTACTTTTGTTAAACTGAGGACACAGGCCAACTAACAAGAGAGGGAAATGTTTCTGAGCTCCAGACCTTATATATCCGAACAATGCCAGAAACAATAGGGCGCCCTTAGGCATTGCTGTGTTGTTTGGACCTGGGGTGGTGAGTGTGGGCAGTGCCTGGCATCACCTCCTGCTGCTTCTTGCTGGGGCTCTTGGCCAGATCCCCTTTTGTCTGCCTTCCAGGATGATCCAGGAAGAGAAGGAGTCCACAGAGCTCCGTGCGGAGGAGATCGAGACGCGTGTGACCAGTGGCAGTATGGAGGCCTTAAACTTGACACAGCTGCGCAAGCGTGGTTCTATCCCCACCTCTCTGACTGCCTTGTCCCTGGCCAGTGCATCCCCTCCACTCAGTGGCCGTTCCACGCCGAAGCTCACCTCCCGCAGCGCTGCCCAGGACCTGGACCGGATGGGGGTCATGACCCTGGTGAGTTCTTTGGGCAGACAATAAACAACTCTGCCCTCCCGTGGCTCTCCCTTGGGAGAGTTTATAAGGAATGGCAAGCTCCTTCCTGGTTATGGGCACGGCATCTTCTTCCCATGGTGTGTGCATGCCCTGTGTGATAGGCCACCAACATGTCCTTCTGGGTTAGGGAAGGGCTTTTGTAATATTTTTCTTACCCTCTCCCTTGGATAAGCACAGAATGCTTAAGAATCTCACCAGCTGCCCACACTGCTTCTCTCTTCCAGAGATGGTCTGGACTTTTTTTGGTACCAGGGATTGAACCCAGGGGTGCTTAACCACTAAACCACATCCCCAGTCCTTTTTATTTTTTATTTAGAGACAAGGACTTGCCGAGTTGCTTAGGGCCTCGCAAAGTGGCTGAGGCTGGCTTTGAACTCTTGATCTTCCTGCCTCAGCCTCCTGAGCCCCTGGGATTATAGGGGTATGCCACCGCGCCCAGCTTAACTTCTTTTTCCAGGCCAGCTTTTTCTGCTGTGCTATTCTATCCAGGCCTGTGTGAGGCACTGAGTCCTGTGTTCTCATCCTAGGACCCTTGGGTGCCCCTTGGGTGGGCTTTAGGGCAGCCAGAGTGAGCCCAAGCTTACCTTCACTTTTTCTTCTAGCCTAGTGACTTAAGAAAGCATCGGAGGAAGTTGCTGGTGAGTGCTGCCCAATGACCCAGGTACTACTGGGTTAACTGGTCCCAGGCCCTTCCCTTTTGGCTTCTCCCCCAGGGCCCTGGGGTCTGAATTTGAACTTGAGGGGCTGCAGGGCCCCCCTACTGCGTTTTTCCTCGGTTTCTCTGCCTCTCGGTTTCTCTGTGCTCCTCTGCCTCGTCCGGGCTGGGTAGGCAGGCCCCAGATCTCTCCCTCTATCCCCTGACGGCTCCACTGTCTGTTCAGTCGCCAGTGTCTCGGGAAGAGAACCGAGAGGATAAAGCCACCATAAAATGTGAGACTTCTCCTCCTTCCTCACCCAGGACGCTGCGGCTAGAGAAGCTTGGCCACCCAGCCCTGAGCCAGGAAGAAGGCAAGAGGTAAGTGAAGCAGGCCCTACCTCTAGGCTCTCTGTTCCCAAGATCATCTCATCCCTCCCTCTGTCTGTGAAGGGACTTCATCTCACCTGTTATAGGTGCTTGACTGTCTTCTCTTTGAACTATCACCAGGAAAGATGTTCCTATGTCTCCCTTGGTCACCTGTGCTGAGCATATCCCATTGCCCCCACCCCAACACTGACACTTAAGTTCTTCCTGAGGTCTAATTCTCATCTCTTGCTGTAATTTAAGTATGTTTCTTCTTATTCCACCCCCTCCTGGCTGTCATCCTATAGTGCCTTGGAGGATCAGGGCAGCAACCCCAGCAGCAGCAACAGCAGCCAGGACTCCTTGCACAAGGGTGCCAAGCGCAAGGGCATCAAGTCGTCCATTGGCCGCCTGTTTGGGAAGAAGGAGAAGGGCAGGCTGATCCAGCTGAGTCGGGATGGAGCCACAGGCCATGGTCTCTGCCCCCTTTGTAGCAGAGGGCTGGGTGGGTGTCGGGGAGTTCAGGAGCAGGAAGGCGTGCGGGCATGCGGCCTTCTCTGCCTCCAAGGACCAGTGGGCGGAAGTCGCAGGCAGGCAGATTTCAGCTCCAGAGAAAGTGCACTTTTTCTGTGAGCTGTTTCATGCTGGGATGGATTGCCTCGTGCGGGGGAGCTCCTGTGCCCAGAAGGGTCAGGCATCTGTGTCCAACTTGGATTTCCATACCCAGCGAAAGACCGTGCTTTCTTCCAACTTTGAGGTTTGGTGACGCGCTGTTGAGGATTTTAGGAGGAAACTCTTAGGTCTTTCTTCAAAGGAGTCTGTTCTTGATTAGCACTTATTTCTGGTACATTCAGGACTCAGAATATGAAGACACCTAATTATAGCTTTGTACACATTGAGTTCAAGAAAGTGCTTGGGCAAGGGAGCACTTTTGTCACCACTGTGGTGACCTAAAGCTCAAGTTCATGCTTGGTACATAGTATAAGCATGGTAGGTACACAGTAAGTGTCTTTCCTCCCCTGCCCCCATTCTTTTTTCCCCTTCCTTCCCCCCTCCTCCTTTTTGTTCCATCATCTATTCAGTCATTTGTTCAAACATTTGAGAACTCTTTTTGTTTTTTTGTACCAGGATTGAATCCAGGGGTGCTTAGCCACTGAGGCACATTCCCAGCCCTTTTTATATTTTATTTAGAGACAGGATCTTGCTGAGTTGCTTAGGGCCTCACTAAGTTGCTGAGGCTGCCTTGGAACTCATGATCCTCCTGCCTCAGCCTCCCAAGCTGCTGGGATTACAGGTGTGCGCCATTGTGCCTGGCTTGTTGAAAACTCTTGTATGGCATAGTACAGGGGGTTGGAGCCATAGCTCATTCCTATAGAATGGAATGTCTGATGAAAAGGAAGGAAATAACAAGATGATTCCAAACCCCAGTATGATGGTGGAGCTTGCAACTAGTTGTGGAGTGGGGGTCAGCAGGAATGGCTTCCTCTGCTCCACAGTCCTGAGCTGAAGCTAGAAGGCTCACAAGAATCAGCCAACTGCAGAAGAGGTGTGTGCACACAGCACAGGGGGGCATTGTGAGGAGAGGAGGCTGTGTGGGTGAGAGAGTTCTGTACCCCCTAATGTATGCCCAGCGTGGAGGAGGAGGGCAGGAGGGAGAGGATGGACAGCCATTGGGCCACCTCTTGGGCCTGTTGAAGCAGGTGAGATGTTCCCTGGAGCCACATGAAATTGATGCATGTCATGCAGGGGAGGAACTTGATCAGCTAGAAGAAAGGAACCTTTGAACCCAAATGCATAATTAGACCTTCCCGCACCCCAGGAAGGTGTGAATCAGAACACAGCTGGCTGAGTGAGGAGGCGGAGGTGGAGGATGGGGAAGCTGGTACTTCTGTTCAGGATGTGGGGATGAGGTAGAGCACTCTCCTCCCCAGCCCCGGGTGAGGGGAGCTGTGGCGCCTCAGGGAAGCAGAAAGGTCTGATAAGTGGCAGAGGTGTTTGTGCAAAAAAAATTTATGATTTCCTGTTCCCCATACTGTGTTGGCACCTAAACCCAAGATAGCAACTCAGATTGGTTTCTGGATGACCTATACCTGCTGCCCCTGTGTACTATGGGGTGACCAGGATGTTGGTGAATTGTAAGATAAATACTATAGCAGGAAGCCATAAATACCATAGCAGGAATTCAGGAGGTCCTCAGTAGGTGACAGAGCAGGGTGTGTTCCCCTCTGTAGCTTGTGTAAGCCAGTGCGTGCAGAGAAAGAGGCTGGGAGACAGAGCTCTCTGGGCCCATTTCCCTACCCTGACTCAAGACAGAATAATCCTCTTCAAGCCTCTTAGACCACTCGCATCTGCTCTCTGGGTTTGCTTTGTATGTTAGCTTGGAGAGGGGAAGGGGTAGGTTCTGTTTAGGATTCTAGGGTGGGACAACTTTAGTCCTGCTGGCTGGAGGTCACCGCCAGGGCTTGGGCTCCCAAGGGTCACCATCTTGGATGGGAATGACTCATTCAGCCCCACTCTCAAACTGTCTGTATGCAGAGGCCTTGGGAGGAGGCTCTGGGAATAACGTGGGGTCCCATCAGACCCACATGGGCTGACCTACGCTGAGGAGCCTCCTGCTGCTGCTACTCCGCAACTTCCTGCCCAGGCCAAAGGAGGAGAGGCAGAGGGCCTGCCGACACACCCATCTCTTCCCTTCCAGTTCTGCTAACAGACTCCGAGCTCAGTCTGCAGGAACCCATGGTACCTGCCAAGCTGGGGACCCAGGCAGAGAAGGACCGGCGACTGAAGAAGAAGTAAGAGCCATAAGCCGGGCTCTGCCTGGGCCCCACCCACTTTCCTTCCCTTAAGCTACCATGGGGCCGAGCTCTGGGAACCGTAGCCCAGCAAGGCCCTCCCTGAGCTGAGTTGGCCATCAGTGAGCACATCAGGGGCTGCCCTGAGTTGGGAGAGGGTCTTAGGATGGTCCCAGGGAGAAGGAGGCAAGGGGGCTTTGGGAGAGTGACTTGGGACCCATGGGTCTTGGCAGGGCAGTTTAGAATGACTAATCAGTATGTGTCAGGTCCTGTGCATGGTGAGAGCCCCTGCTCTCTGGCATGGAGAGGTGTTCTTGCTCTACTTCTTGGTATCGCAGTGCTGCAGGTGTAGAGAGGAGGAGTCCACAGTGGGGAGCAGGGAAGTGGGAGTCCCAACCCTTGACCCACCCCAGTGGTCCCCAGGAGTCAGCCTGGTTGAGTCTCTTGTTTCTTCTTCTACAAGACACCAGCTGCTTGAGGATGCCCGCAGGAAAGGAATGCCCTTTGCCCAGTGGGACGGCCCCACTGTGGTCTCCTGGCTGGAGGTGAGCCTGGCTGAGGGCACCTGCTCTGGGGTCTGGGGGGAAGATTCTGTGGGGCGGGATGAGAACTCCTGGCAGCGGTAGTGTTCCTACAACTTTCCCAGCATGTGTCTGTCCTGTCAAGTTGCATGTGCCAGGTCAAGCATCCAGCTCCTCCCAACCACCCGCCCCCAGCCCCCTGCAAACACACATAGCACTTTGAAGGACAGAATTGATGCTACTTTATAACTGAGTTTGGATAAGAGGGACCAATAACTGAAGCCACAGACAATTTGACTCTTCCTATAGGCTGCTCCAGGAACCATGCAAAGAAAATTCCTTCACCTTCCCAGGCCCTAATTTGTAACCCCCACCTTGTCCATCATCCTATGTAGGATACCTATAAAAACTCAAACTAAGCAACTTTATTTATTTGTGTTCCAATAAAACTTTACTCATAAAACATGTAGATGGCCATCTTTAGCCCTATGGACCACAGTTTGTCTATTCTTGATATAGTGGAAAAGGATAATAACTTGTGATCATGATTCCAATTTTAACTCTTTTTAAATAACTTTTTAAAATTTATTTATTTTGATTAGGTAGATATGACAACAGAATGCATTTTGATTCATTGTACACAAATGCAGCACAACTTTATGTTTCTATAGTTGTACATGATGTAGCATCGCACTGTATGTGCGGTCATACATGTACCTAGGGTAATGATAGGTATCCTATAACCTTTTACAGTTTTTTCTAGGTGTCCTATATGTTGGATGATGGGATGTAATCTGTACTATGGGAAAGGGAGTTTGATGATAGTCATCTTCATATTTCTAAGTTCCTGTGCTTTGTTTTTGCTATATCAAGACCATGGATGAGACCTAGCCTTTGACCCTGGCTTAGTATGGTCAAAGTCTTGGCAGTAGGCTTAGGTCTTGGGGGAAGGGACTGAATTATTACCCCCTACCCCACGCTGTGTCCTATGTCTGCAGCTATGGGTGGGGATGCCTGCCTGGTATGTGGCAGCCTGCCGGGCCAACGTCAAGAGTGGTGCCATCATGTCTGCCCTGTCGGACACAGAGATTCAGCGGGAGATTGGCATCAGCAATGCCCTGCACCGGCTCAAGCTCCGGCTAGCCATCCAGGAGATGGTATCGCTGACCAGCCCCTCGGCCCCGCCCACCTCCAGGACAGTGAGTGGCTTCTCCCTTACCCAGGACATTTACAGAAGCCCTGGAATAGTGTTAGCAAAGTCTCTCATTGGTCTTCAGAGAGATGGTAGCATTGAGCCCTTAACTTCCCACCTCCACAAAATGCTCTCCCTACTCTTTAGGAGGGTTCAGCATTGGTTCTAAGAGAATCCAGCAGTCCTGGTTCCCTGCCTGCCACATAACTGTTCGTGGGCTCCATTTCTCTGTCCCTACCTGACAAAAATTCCTCATCTCTGGGAGGAGACTTCCAGGTTCTGTGTTATTGTCAGGTTGGGGAAAGTAGAGGCGAGAGAGCATTTATGAATTTTGTCCTGTCCTCTAACCTCAGCACAAGAATGCAGACTACTCCACGGACCCCAAGGTGAAATGTCATTGTTACTTGTCACTGTGACTGGGGTCATCCCCTTTTCAGGTCAGCACCACTCTTTCATATTTGTCCAGGAGACATTTGCGAGTGCTTTCTACTCTGAAGGCACTGTGCTAGCAGTGTGGATACCGTGATACCTGCTCTGCTGTCAGCTTGCTCCCTGCTGGACACAGTGCAGTGCTCTGGGCTGGGCATATGGGGGACTCGGGGGAAGGCAGCTCTGCTCTCTGGGCCTCCAAGCCTTTTAGGGATCCTAGGACACTGCCTTCCCTGCCCAGGGCTAACTAGATTTTTTCCCTGCAGTCTTCTGGGAATGTCTGGGTCACCCATGAGGAGATGGAAACTCTGGCAACATCCACCAAAACAGTGAGTCTGGACCTTGGCTCTGACCCTGGGGTTAGGGTAGATGACTCCCAGGAGAATGAAGGGAAGACTGTGGGAGGTCAGAGGGGCGGGCAGTAGACCTCAGGTTGGTATCTTGGGTTCCCTTCTCAGGGCAGAGTATTGTGGGGGAAGAGGTGAGATTGGGAAGAGTTAGAGTTTGTGTGGGGTCTCCTGGGCATCATGAGCTTACCCACAGCCCCTGGAATACTGCAGTGGAGAAAAGCTGGGCAGGAGAGGGCTTTGTCCTGCTATGGGCCTGAGGCCTACCCTTGACTTTGACCCTTGGTGGAGGAACTGGGAAGGTTGGGGAAGTTGGCATCTTGCCTGGCACTTAGACGAGCCTGGGAGACTTGGAAGCAGGTTTTTGTTTTTGTTTTTGTTTCTGTTTTTTTTTTTTGCCATACACATTTGCTCTTGTTTCACCACAAACACAGCCACAGGCACCATCCAGCTGCCCCCTCCTGGGCATCCCATGAGCTTTCCCCAGTTACCTCCCAGCTACTGGGGTGTGTCCTCCTCCTCTCTGATGGGGCCTGGGGCAGGAGCTACAGGTTGCTTGACTTTGCCTGTTTCCCTGACATGCTGCACTTGTTCCTGCTAGGACAGTGAGGAGGGCAGCTGGGCTCAGGTAAGACTCCATCCGGATCAGAACCAACTCTCAGCTGGTCAGGCCAGGATCTTCCCAGCAGCTTCTCTTCCCAGCAGAACTGTCCCACTCCCAATGTGTGTCTTCCCTCTGCTTCCTGAGTCCTGGATGTAGGTTCTTTCCTGCTGAACCCCCCACCACCTCCTCTTTAGCTGCTTATTCTGGTTGCTCAGGATGGCAGGTGAGGAGCCCTAGAGGGCTGTGCCCCCAGCATGCCTGGCCCCTCTCCTCAGTTGACTGTCTTCTCAAATGGTGAGACTTAGATTGGTATGAATCTTCATCCTTTCCCAGTCCTTCCCAGGGGTACACAGGTGAACTAACTCAGGGCCTTCCATGCATTCCTCTAGTATGCAAATAATTATTAAGCACCTAGACTTTTCTAAGCACTCTGAATGCAAAAGTAAAGAAGCAAAGCCCCATGGAGCAGTAAACAAGGAAGGGTATAATATCAAAAAGCAAGCAGTATTGGGGCTGTGGCTGTGGCTCAGTGGTAGAGCCCTTGCCTAGCACATGTAAGGCACTGGGTTTGATCCTGAGCACCATATAAAAATAAACAAATAAATAAAGGCATTCTGTCCAGCTACAACTACAAAAAAAATGTTAAAAGAAAAAAGCAAGCAGTATTAATAGGAATATAAAGGACAGTACTGACAGATAAATAAAGGGTCAATATCAGATAGTGATGAGTGTCATGGTGAAGAATGAAGCATGGAGCAGCACTGTGAATGCCTGCAGGGAAAACCCCATCAGCAGGAGACCGGCAGGCCACTGACAGCACATTCACCTGCAGAACAGTAGTCAGCAGAGGTAATGCAGGGACCTGGGAAATATGTTAAATGAAATATGCAAATCCCAGTGACTTCATAGAATTTGATGTTAAAATTTTTTAAAAAGCAAAGTTATTAATATATTGTTTAGAAAAAAATATATTGGTGATTATAAAACTTAATTTTTTTAAGTGGAGGAACCCTAGACAGAAATCTCAGCATGGTGGGTACTTCTGAGCTGTAGGAAATGGGATGGGGTAGATTTGTGGGTGCAGAGAATGTTTTGATTCTTATCTTGGATGCTGTCTGCAGATGTTAACTTCATTTTTATGCTTAATAATGGACATATGGGACACATGGTTTTATAAGTGTCAACAATTTCATTTTTAAAATATTTTTTTAGTTGTAGATGGGCTTAATACCTTTATTTTATTTATTTTTATGTGGTGCTGAGAATTGAGCCCCGTGACTCACATATGCTAGGCAAGTGCTCTGCCACTGAGCCACAACCCCAGCCCCAACAATTTCATTTTAAAAGCTAACAAAATGGAAAATTTCAATCTTAAAATATCAATTAGGGTAAGGGAATAGTGGTGGAAAGCTTGATATCAACAACTAAAGCTTTCTTTCACGTATATATATTTTTTAGTTGTAGATGGACACAATATTTTTATTTTATTTGTTTATTTTTATGTGGTGCTGAGGATTGAACCCAGTGCCTCGCATGCTGTACCACTGAGCTCTAGCTTCAGCCCAACAACAAAGGCTTTCTAAAGCTGGGTGGTCAGAGAGCCCTGCTTGCCCACATCAGGAGGGATGTCTAGAGGGTGTGGGCTTAGAGCCAGGTGGAGGGTGTGCCTGGTGCGAGCAAAGGTTCTGGAGAGTTCTTGGAGCAGAAGACCAAGCCTTAGAGAACCAAACTGGCTGTTCTGACACAGGCCACTGACCTTTGTTTTTTTCTGTCTTTGGCTAATGTTCAACATCCCTGTTGACTATAAGGCCAGCCATTTCCAGTGAGGCTGGCATCCTATACCCCTCTGTAGGGCACTGCAACACAGCCTTGCCCCTGGGCTCAGTGGGCTGGAAGCTCCCTAAGAACTGGGAAGGCAGGTTGGCAGCACAGTGCCATCCAGGCATTCCAGAGATGGCAGGAAGGACGTCGTGTTCTCCACTGTCTAGACAGTTGCTCCCATTCGTTAGGGTAGATAATTGATATGTGAGTGGAACTAGATGGTTCTGGTATCTTGAAAAGTTCCATTTAAAATCCCCCACCACGACAAGCCCCCTAGTGAAAAGAAACTGAATTTCATTGAACTGCTCTCCCTCCCTCATGGGTGGAAGATGGAGTAATGTTTCTGGACCAGGTATTCCAGGCGCAACCTGATGGCCCCACTGCCTCCCCCACAGCCTGCTCCTTCTCATCCCACAGACCCTGGCTTATGGAGACATGAACCATGAATGGATTGGGAACGAATGGCTGCCCAGCCTGGGGCTCCCCCAGTACCGCAGCTACTTCATGGAGTGCCTGGTGGATGCACGCATGCTGGACCACCTCACCAAGAAGGACCTGCGCGTCCACCTGAAGATGGTGGACAGCTTCCATAGGTGAGCCAGGCTGGAGCCAGGGCCCCCTCCCTGACACTGGTCTTCTGACAAAGGACTGGGGTCTGTCTCTAGGAATAGAGGCCCCTCTTCTCACCTTTTTCTATGGCTTTTTCTGGGTGGCAACAGGTCTCCTATTGGGAAAGTCTTCCTCTTTGAGTTCTTGCCTCATCCTACAATTTGAGGATTTGGTTCTCTTAATGCTAACCCTTAGGGCACAAAAAGTCATTTCTTGCTAGCATCATCTTCTTTGCGATTTTTCTCCTAAGTCTGCATTTCATTGCTTGTCTTGGGATTCCTGAATTCTCTGTGCTTACCCTGAGGAGGCTCAAACCAAACCTGGCATTTGATTTAGGTGTCTCATTCCTTCCAAGCTGAGGGGAAAGAACTTTCTGGGACTTTGCCCTGCCAACGTCCCAGCTGGGAGCCCTTCAGCTTTGGGCTCATGTCTTTTTGTACAGGGTATCCAGTCCTCTCCTCTTCTTTACTGAAGGGATCTTTTGTTCAAAAGTGTCATAGCTGAAGTCCTAAACTGGCAGCCCGTGGGCAGGATTTGGCCTACTGATATGTTTTGTTTGGCCCACATGTATTTTAAAAATCATGAGTTTAGTTGTCAGTACTTCAACAGTAGGAGATTTTATGCAAACTTCTGGATTTCTGGCTTCTCCTGAAAACTTGAAAGTGCTATCAGTACATTTTAGCTGGGAAACAACCAGCTGTAGCTAGAGAGTGGTTGCTTCTCCAGGACCGGGGAGTCCTTTTCCAGATCTTCCCAGCCCCTCCTTCCTGCTTCCTTCACTTAATTACCTGCCTAGTCCCAAGAGGCATTTGGGTTGGAGAACCAGGTGGGTGGTGATCGTTCCAGGAGTTGACAGTTTTTATGAAGTGCTTCACAGCATCTAGCTGCAAGTAGCTCAGATTGCTATTTAAGTCTGGTCTTTTCCCTTGAGTGGATAATGAGACAAGTGGTGGAACCAGGGATAAGTGGCTTTTCAGGCTTCCCTCAGGGCTCTATGGATATCCCCCCAAATGTGGGGAAATGTGGCTGTCCTTCAACTCATATACCATGCAAATTTAAATCTGGAATGGACCTAGTCAGTCTCTTCATTGTGTGGATGAGGAAACTGAGGCATAGGAAGGAGTAGGCCAAGGCCGCTCAGTGGAACCGAGTCTGCTGACTCATCCAGTGCTCTTGCCACCACACTGCAGAGACTCCTGGACCCTTCATCCCTCCTTACTCCATGGGACTGGTAAGGGCCAACTTGTGAAGGAAGCCTCTGTCCTCCCTTCCCCCACCCCACTGAAAGGGAATCTTTTGTCTCTGTGCAGGAGGCTGCCAGGCCCAGCTGCACCTGTCCCCTCCTCGGTGATTGATGGGATTGGGGAGAAGGGCTAGGGGATACGCCTGGGTTGCTAGAGGACTGTGGAAGTCCTCCCCATGGCCCTCTGCCCAGAGCCCAGCCTGCCACATGGTCGCAGGCTCAGCTCCACAAGCCTCACCTCAGCTGTGCACTTGCTGCTTTGATTCCACTCAACATTTCATCAGCAAGTTCTTAGGTCTTGGAAAAGCCTTTGACATTATGATTTTTATGACAAGAAGGGGATATTTCAAAACTATTTTACAGAGAAAACAAGCCCAATAGAGGGTGAGTTCTGTCAGGCCACTCAGCCAGGTGGTGACAATAGGCTAAATAAAGCCCTCATTTCTTGACACCCCGTTCAGAGCACTTTTCCTTGGGACAGGGCATTCTGTTGAGCAGGTAAACCCAAGGAGCTCCTGTTGGGTAGAACCCGCACACGCAATAATCAGAACTGCCGTCCTAACAGTGGTCCCATTTCTGAGCACCTGCGATGTTCCAGGGGCTGGACCAAACCCTTCCAGTCACTCACCTTTGTCCTCACCACAACTCCAATATAGAGATAGGACCCCTCTCACAGATGCACAGTGCCCCTCAGCTAACAGGTGGCAGAACTGCTATTGAAACCTAGTGCGGCCAAACTTAAGGTCTTTTATGGTTTTGCCGTGCTGCGCAACAGCTTTCAAAGTCTCAGTAATTGTAGTGAGAATTATAGCAAAATTAAAATTCGTGGGTATTTGCCATCATGCGCTGTTTGCGTTCATGTCCCTTGCAGGGACCAGGACTTAAATCAGTGGCTTGAGCATTAAACAGGTGGCTCAGCCGGAAAAGGGTTCCTAGAAATGGTGTCTCTGAGCTGTGGAAGAGATGCTTCTTGAGTAGAACTGAGAAGAAAAGAGAGAATAATCTGCATGATTTAATCTTACAGTGCCTCAATAGTAAAGTCAAAACTGCATTTGGGAGGAAACTTCTATTCTTTCTATTTTCTGGTTGGGGAAAGAAAGAATGAAGGACAAAAGTGTATTTAAGTTAAGCAAGAATCTGCTGTTCTCCCAGTAAGCTCCCCTGAGAAGGTAGTGAGTCCCCTGTCACTGGGCATGTTCAGGTCTTGGCTCTGTGACTGCTCTGGAGGATGCTGTGGAGACCACTCCTGCCTTAGGAAAAGCTGGGACTGTTGATTGTAGGGTCCCTTCTAACCTGCAGCTCTCATCTTAGCCTGGCTTAGTTATTATTTATTCAGTGCTTATGATGACCTCATACTCTTTAAGTACTCTCAGTAATTTATGTGAATTATTCCATTTAACTCATTCAGCGTTTATACAGGGCCTCTTATGTACTTAGATGTTTAAGATCAGTGGACAAATCAAAGCTCCTTGACCTCGTAGAGCTTACATTTTAACTGGGAGAGACAATTCAGGAACAATAAACTACGGTATGTTACTAGATAAAAAGTGGTAGAAAAAAAATTAGTCTAAGGTAAGGGAGATTGGGAGTGTGGGCCGGGTGTGATGGTGCTAATGGTGCAGTTTCCAATCTGATGAACAAGGTGACTGGTAAATTGGGCTGAGAAGGTGATATTTGAGCAATGCTTAAAGGACAGGAAGTAGTGAGCTGTGCAGCAGACTGGGGAGGAGTATTCCAAGCAGAGGGAACAGCCAGTGCAAAGACCCTGAGGCACCCAGACCTAGGGAGCCTGCTGTGTTTGAGGAACAGCAGGGATGTCATGTGGCTACAGCAGAGAGAGCAAGGGAAGAGTAGCCAGAGGGAGAGTGAGACATGTGAGGTAAGGGAACAGGTCATGAGGCATCCATCTTATAGGCTGTTGAAAGGACTCTGAGTAAAATGGGGAGGTAAAGAAGTATTTTGCTTTTGCTTTTTCTTTGACTTATGGGTGGTAGAGGTCTTGCCATTCCAGTGCCTGGAGAGAAAGGACATGTTCAAAGCACTTTTGTTCTAAAAGTCAGGTCCAATCCCTGGCTGAGAAGGAGGACGCAGGGTAGCAGAGAGCACGACATAACCTCTGCAGGGTCACATGCAGGCCTCCGCAGCAGGAAAAGCACAAGAGGGCTGGGGCACTCTTGTGCGGAGGCAGCAGGCCTGGATCTGCTGTGGCTGCTGCGGAATGTTGGGCCCATGGGAGACATAGCCCTGCTGAGGGTCTGGCTTGGGGGTTGTGTATCTGCAGGACCAGCCTTCAGTATGGCATCATGTGTCTGAAGAGACTGAATTACGACCGGAAGGAGCTGGAGAAGAGGCGGGAAGAGAGCCAGCACGAGATCAAGGGTAAGCTGGTCAGGCCTGGTGGGGGCCTCAGAAAGGTACGGAGCAGCCTGGCCTGCTGGTCCCTTCCTTGGGCTGGGTGGAGAAAGAGCATTCTGAGCTCAGGGAAGCTCCCAATTGGAGAGGAAGGTGCAGTCCTAACCTGGGACAGTGCTGCAGACTGGGCTTCTTCTCATGGAACTTGGTGATCTGGGTGGGGTTGGATGAGAAACAGAGGCAGGTTTTAGAAGAGACTTTGAAGGTGGGAGAATAAAAGGCCACTTTGGCCTGGGTAGGCAGAAGATTCTTTCAGAGGCTCTAGAGTGGCCTTATCCCAAGTCCTGCAGGCTGGCAGGGGTACAGTGAGGTGGGGCTGGTTCTCCAGGAGTCAAGGTATCAGGGATGACAGAGACAAGGTATGGGAGGTTGGGGGAAGGGTGGGAAACAGCAGAGTGATGGGACATTGAGTCAAGAGACCCCTGGAGGGGAGGTTGGGCCAAACCTATGTCTCTTTTTGCTCCTTCTATTCTCCTACTCTCCAGATGTGCTGGTTTGGACCAATGACCAGGTGGTTCATTGGGTACAGTCTATTGGGCTTCGGGACTATGCAGGAAACCTGCAAGAGAGTGGTGTCCATGGTGCCCTGCTGGCTCTGGATGAGAACTTTGACCATAACACACTGGCCTTGGTCCTCCAGATCCCCACGCAGAACACCCAGGTGGGCAGCCCTTTAATCAATTGGTCTCACTCTTTTTTCTTTTCTTTCTTCCTGGTGTGTATGTGTGCAGGGGGCTGTGCTTGGGCATGCCCCAGAGGGATTGTAATGCCCTCAAACCTCCAAGAGTGGTCCCTATGCCTGGCGAAGGCTCATGGGAATATGATTTTTCACATGAGAAGATGTCTGTTTTTGTCCCCACACTGCTATGGGGACCTCCACTGCCAACACTCTGCATTCCTTTTCCTTGAACAACTTCTCTGACCTGACTTTTCTTACAGGAGAACTAGCTTTGGTCCCCATGGGGACCAGAAAGCCCATATCTCTTTTGTCTGCCATCCTAGGGACCTACTCCTGGCCTCTCAGGCTTAAGAAAGCTAAATATACCTGCTAGCACAGCCCAGAGCCTTTCAGCGCCAGGGCTTTGTCTGCCCAGCAACAACTCAAAAGATTAGACATCTCCTTAAATTACCTTTCATAATTACTATGGAGCTGTCATCCAAGAATGTATCTAAATTCTCTTGAACCTATTTATATTTTTGGCCTTTCTAACTTCCTGTGGGTAATGGATTTTAGAAGTACTAACAGTTGTATAAAGTACTTCCTGATTTTATTTGTCCTAAAAATGACCCTGTCAGGCTTCCCCTGGGGAAGGAACTCTTAGTTTAGATTTTTTAAGGATGTTTATATTTGATCAGTTCTCACCTTTTGTGAGAACTGTGAATTTCATAAACTCTGAGTATGTTGCCTCTGGGCCCAAGCCTTTGTCTCTCCAGACAGAGTGGTCTTAATTCTTTTAGCCTTTCCTCATATAGACTTGCCTCTGTCCCTGATCATTTTAGCTGCCCTTGTCTGGACTGTTTGCAGCTGTCAGATCGCTTTTGAAATTCAGCCACCAGGGCTGCACAGGCTATTCTGGGAGCAGATGTGTTTTAGCTTGAGGGAGGGTGGTACTGTGTTGTGCTATAGTTCTGGGGTGTGTGTTGGCCTTTGGGGGTGATAGTAGCACACTGGGCCAGTGTGTCCTATAGTACCCCTCCTAACCAGTCAAAATAGATAGTGCAGATCCCCTCTTCTCTAAAAAGATCTCAGATGTCCCCTCAAATGCAATTTCCTTACACTTGCCCATCTCAAACTCACTTGCTACCTTCCTGCTCACTCATACAGCTCTGCAAGGTGTTTCTGAAGTTGATACCTGTCCACTTGACCATTCACAACACAGAGGAACAGCATCATGAGATCCTTGAAAGTATTATCAGGCTTCTCCTTTAAGATCATGTGTAGGACTATCATGTTCTCAATACCGATAAAGACAGTATTAGACTATAAAGACTGATGCAGAAAGCTATGGTTAATTTTATTTATCACAAAATGGGCTTTTCTCTTTCTTTTCCTTCCTATCTCAAAATGCCTTCAGTTATTTTTTGTTTGTTTTGTTTTGGGGGGAGTGCTGGGGATTGAACCCAGGGGTGCTTAACCACTGAGCCACATCCCCAGCCCTTTTTATATTTTATTTTGAGACAGGGTCTCGCTAAACTGCCTAGGACCTCAATAAATTGCTGAGGTTGGCTTTGAACTTGTGATCCTCCTGCCTCAGCCTCCCAAGCTGCTGGAGTTACAGGTGTGTGCCACTGTGCCCAGCTGCCTTCAGTTTTTGTAGATGGCAATATTTCTGAAAATTGTAGCAGCAGCATTTCTATGGCTTTCTAGCCTTTCTTATTTCCTGACTCATTCATTTAGCATATTAGCTGTTGGGGGAAATACTATCTGATCCAATATGGAGTCCATTGTTTAAAATGGTCAAAAATATCTGTTGGCATAAAATTTTGAAAACATTCCTGTTTCTGGCAATGTTTGTGAGTTCATTTCTAGGAGGTCTAGAGAAAGCTTCTGTACATCATGCAGCCCAGGCCCACCAACAGCCATGACTGAGCTGTTGGTTTAAATTCATGATATGGAACCTTGCAAATAGATTTATTTAATCCAGATAAGTTGTTTTGGTTATCTGTGGTCTGCATACTTATCTCCCAATTGCCTCCAAAGGTAGTCAGACATGATTTTCCCCTTGTAGACAAAATGTTTGCTTGTTTTCCCAGTAGGTAAAGCCTTTCCATCCATATGTTCTGGGATCCTATTTTTTAAAAAAAATTTTTACATTTTTTTTTTCTGTTTTCACCATATGAAAGAACCTAAAGGTTAACATTTCCAAGAGGACACTGAGGTTTGCTTGGAGGAGTAACCTCAGAAGTGTGAAGGACTAAGTGTATCAAGCCCTGCCACATCTCTGCCCTTGGACCCTAGGAAGCAGGTGAAAGATGATATAAAGATCCTTAACTATGCCCTGTTCACCTTCCTTTCTCTCACCCTGTGGACTCCAGGCCCGCCAGGTGATGGAGAGAGAGTTCAATAACCTCTTGGCCTTGGGCACAGACCGGAAGCTGGATGATGTGAGTACATGGTCATGAATTCAGGGCCTCGGGGATTTGGTCATGGTCAGTTGGGTTGAAGTTCATGAATTCTTCTTTCCCTGACTGATCATTGGTGGGCTAGCCTAAGGGAGGGGAGCCAGAGTGGATAGAGATGATGATAGGGGGTTGGGGGATTGGGGTGGCAGGTCAGGCTTAGCTGGGCTTGCCTTGGGTAGCAATGGGCTGTGAAGAAGTCTATGAAACTCCTTTCTGATAGGCTGAAGGCCCCTATAATTATGCTTCTAGAATTTTCCAACTCTAGGCCCAGCCTTCCTAAGTATGTAGGGTCCAAGGTCTTCCCCCAAGGTCATATCTTTGGGATCATACCTTTGCCTTGGTCTCTGAGACCCCATGTCTTCAGTGCTGACAGCCAGCATGTCTCTGGCCTGCAGAGTAAGACTGCAACCCACCCATGTAGTGTGGTTGTTTGGGGACAGATGCTCTGCTGAGGCTGCTGAATGGCTGCCGTGCTCCCTGTTCCTCAGTGCAGCCTGATGCAGTGAAAACTGGTTCCGGCTTTACCATCCCAGCTTTCTAGTTGCACTCTTCTGTCTCCCTTCACTCCACGTGGAAGTTTCCCTCTTGCAGCCCTCCTGCCGCTGAAGACACAGTCCTTTGCCCCTAGTTTCTTCAGGCCTTCCCTTTGGGTTTAGGGACAACCCTGACATCCTGAGCCATAGTGCTCCCCTAGAGATGCTACTTCTGCACACCTGTTTCCTGAGGACACACTCCTCCTCAGCCCCACCTTCCCTGCCCCCACTCACTTTCCTTTCACCAATCTTGCTTGCCCTTGGCTGTCATGGCTGCTGTAGCTGATTTGGCTCCAAACAAGTTTTATAAAGGGCCCAGACTATTTATTTTTAGCTTCTCCATCTTCAGTCAGATCATTGTTTCTTAGTTGGGTTTAACAAGGCTAAAAACCACCTTTGTAGAGTGATTGCCTTGCCCTAGTAGACAGGACACACTGGGGAATACACAGAATTTGTGGAGGTATGCTTTCTTCACAGAGGTACCTTGAAATTGTCAGAGGGTGGTAACTCTCTGTGTGTTTGTGTGTGTGTGTGTGTATGTGTGTGTGTGTGCACGCGTATGTGTGTGTGTGTGCACGCGCATGCGCGTGCGTGTCTGTATGTGTCTTTGTATCTCAATCAAGGAGATAAATTCGTACTCCCCAACTGTCCCCACTCTCAGAGATCTTAATTTTCCCATTGCCTACCACTTAGCCCCCCCACACACACCTAGATAGGATCTTAGCTTTCTTCGTTGCTATCTGGAAAAATGAGCCCCATTATATTAGCACGGTGCTTCTAATTTAGAAAATTATCTATTCCTTCAGTTCTTACAGAAATACTCGGAATGCCTGCTGTGTTCCTGGGATAGGCCAGGCAGGGTGGCACAATGTTACAGATGTTTCACTTTGTGCTAACAGTCATCTATGGAATGGGTACTATCCCCATCTAGGAATGGGTTACTATCACCATCTTAGAGATGAAGACATTGAAGCTTAAAGAAATACTTTACTGGGTTGTAGCTCCGTGGTAGATCACTTGCCTAGCATGTGCTAGGGTTCAATCCCCAGCACTGAAAAGGAAAAGGGCAGAGTTGAGGTGTAGAGAACAGAACTAAAGTAGATGTGTGTTGATTCCTGTGCTCTCTCCCCTGCATCCTGCTACCTACTGGAAGCTGGCATGGCTGGCTGATCTATAAGACTTTGAGGTGGAGTTATGGAGTTGAGTGGATGATGCCGTTGGTCAGTACAGTGAGGTTTCTGAGTGGCAACTCTATGTGGGACTATAGAGGACTGGTTCTTGCAGGGAGCTTAAAGCAGAAGCCAAGGCCTGGGAAAGGGTGAAATTTGGTGAGGGGGCTGGGCAGAGACCTGTGGAAGCTGCTTCCTATCTAGCTGTCTAGTGCTTCTCCAACAACCTGGAGCCGTGTCTTGCTACTAGTCCTGTCAGTTCTGGTTCTGTTTCCTTTCTCCAACTTCAAGGCTCTGAAAAGCTGTAGCAAGTTCTCCCTCTCCATGGAGATCAGGACCGAAGGGAAATCCAGAGGGACAGGAAGAACATGGGCTTCTTAGGGGACAGAGGAGGAATACAGCAGGAAGTCCTTGGGATTGGCTGAAAGTGGAAATGGGGGCTGAGAGAAAGGGCTCCAGGCTAGTTAAGAGCAGGACATGAGGAAGCCGCAGGTCCCTGCCAAGTTCAGGAATGGACTCCTGTGTAGGGAACCACTGCCACCTATTATTTAACAAATATTTGTTGAATGCCTACAGTATTCCCAGACACTACTCAGGAGCTGGGGAGACATTGGTTGGAACAAAAAAGATCACGGTTTCTGCAATCATGGAGCATAGAATTTGAGAGAGAGGAAAAGAGGGATAAAGTGAAAGGGTAGGGGGAGGGAGGGATTGAGCAGGTAAAAGAAGGAGAGGAAGAAAATAATGAAATAATCTCCTAAATCCATAAAAAATGCTACTGGAACTAGTGCTGTGACAGAGATACCTGGTGCTAAGAATTGATTAGAACGTTTGGCCTCCAAGGGCTCAAACAACAATCTTAGCCAAGCCAGGTGACATACCTATAATCCGAGTTACTCAGGAGGCTGAGGTAGGAGGATTGCAAACTCAAGGCTAGCCCGGGAAACTAAGCAAGGAGACTCTGTCTCAAAATAAAACAAAAACAAATTCTGAGGGGATCACTGTGCCTGCACCCTTGGGCTCTTTCTCCCAAGAGAAAGGGAGAAAATGAGAAAACAGGGGCTGGAGAAAATGAGGTGTGACTACAAAGCAGGGTGGATGTGGCTCTAAAGGGTGGAGTGGGAGGCCTTTGCAGGGTAGCATCCTGTAGGGTTGTGGCCCTGGTGCCCTCTAGTAGAGATAGTTATTTTGGAGACTTGGTGTCATCTGTGAGGTGGCAGATGGATCGGGACTGCCAGTCATGTCCTTTGGAGTATGTCTCTGGTCATCACCCATCACTGTCAAAGGGTTCTCTCATCTGATCCTGTTGGATAGGTAATCTTAGAAGTAGTTGGACAGATGTTGGTGTTCCTGATTTACAGAGGAGGAAACTGAGGCTTAGAGAGGTCACTTAACTTGCGGAAGGGCACAGAGTGGGTAATATGGCAGAGTCAAGATTGGAAGTCAGGTATCCTGACTGCTCTTCCAGGATACCTGGGTGATAGTCTTAGGACGCAGAAGGACAGGAGAGCATGTGTGAGGACTGTCCTGTGTGTTTCTATGGGAGGCTGAGAAGAGGAACACCTTGAAAGTCCAATGGGTACCCCAAACTCAGGCTTAGAAGATTAATGTGGGTAGAGAAGCAGAGTCCAATGCCAGATGACAGGTCTGACCAGAAGGCTCTCCCGTTCTTCCTCCTGGGATACATTAGAGAGTTGCAAGGACCCATGGAAGTCATCCACCTCAACTCCAGATTTATCCACTGGTGGAAAAACTGAGGACTAGAAAGGGGAAGTGACCTTGTCCCTTCTTTCCAAAGGGAGTAGTTAGTATCTCCAGAACTAGCCACAACTGCCCTTCCTGGGGCAAGGAGTGAGAGTGACAATCACAACCTCCTTGGGCCTCTGAGTGTCTCCACCTTGCAGGGGGAGGACAAGGTGTTCCGCCGCGCGCCCTCCTGGAGGAAACGCTTCCGGCCGCGGGACCACCACAGCGGTGGCATGCTGGGCACCTCGGCAGAGACGCTCCCGGCAGGCTTCCGCGTGTCCTCCCTGGGGACCCTGCAGCCCCCTCCCGGCCCTCCCAAGAAAGTCATGCCTGAAGGTGAGTGACCGGCTGGCTGGGCATGGCCGAGGCCCTGCTGGGCGCGGGCTCCAGACCAGGAGTCCCGGGCCAAACCGGGTGGAGGGCGCGCGGCCGGAGCTAGCGGCCCCTCGCACCCTTGGGCTGACACTGCACTAACGGCTGCCGCGGGGAGCGCTGCGGGCAGCCCCTGCCGAGGAGTGTGTCGCTGCGGCCCGCGAGTGAGCGTGTGCGCGCACTAACCCCGCGCTCTGTGTGTTCTCCCGCTGCCGACTCCTCCCAGCCGGGCCGGCGGGGGCGCAGAGACTGGAGACCTCCACGGTTCGGACCTACTCCTGCTGACCCCCACCCTCCCGCCCCGGGTCTGACGGGGGTGTGCCCCTGGCTCGGGGTAAGTGGGCCAGGCCCTGGGACTCGGGCGCCTGCTGCTGCGCTCGGCCCCACGCGCCTGCCCCTGGCCGCCGGCCTGGCCCTGCCACCTGGCCCTGCCACCCCAGTCCCGCTCGCCAGCACTGCCCGGCTTGCCCCTTCCTGCTTCGTGTGGCCTGGGGCGCTTTGTGCTTGGGAGCATGCCGCAGACCCCTCGCAAGCTGCCTCCCAGGGACTGCCTGCCCGCCCACAGCGCGTGCCTCTCTTCTCTCTCAGCTCATTCCCACTATCTCTACGGACACATGCTCTCCGCCTTCCGGGACTAGCCACGGCCTGGGCCGGCGTCCTTCTCTCAGCCGGCCCTGACCCCTCCTGCTCGTTCCCCTTCTTCCACGGCTCCTAGTCTCGTCCGTCCGTGACCTTCCGGTTACCCTGGATCTCAGAATATATTCATCTATCCCTCGACATCCCACTACTCCTGAATCCCACTGCGTGTCCTTTGTAAGTCTCGTGGTTGTGGCTGGGGTCTCCCGTGTTGTGGAGGCACTCAGGTTGTCCATGCCTGGGATTCTGGGGGAAGAGAGAAGGGCAGCCGGCAGTGGCTGTGACCTCACCCTCCCTCTGGACCTGGCCTTGTTTGGACTGTGCCCTCCACCAGGAGGATCCTGGGCCAAGGACTGAGATGGCCCTTTCAAAAAAAGGTGTCACTTCACACTGTCCTGTTTGGGCTATTTGGTCTTTTGGTCCCTGTCCACTCTGGTTGTGCCAGATTGTCTGAGGGTTGGTTTTGGCACCCTCAGCTCCACCCTCCCCCAGTCCATCACCACCACTTGCAGCTTCTGCCTTGAGGACTTGCTGAGGCCAGGAGAGGATCTAGGAAACCTGAGGTAGAAATTCTGAGTCCCCACTCAAACTGAATCCCAAACTTGAGTTTGGGAAGAATCAGAGCAAAATGGACCTCAGTTTTGGGCTAAGGTGAGGATGGGGAAACTCTTAGCCCCATGCCCAGTAAGCCGGGTAGGCAGGCAAGCTAGTAGGAGAGCTGATGACCTCTGGTAGCCTTAAGCTCAAAGGACAGTAGGAATGATACCAGCCCCACCCAAAGGGTGGAGCTTCATCTGGGCTGGGAGGAGGGACCCTTGAGTGCATCATAACCCTGGGGCAGAACAGATCCCACTAGGTTCTGCCCACTGTGACCCCAGCATCTCTTCCCCATCCTCCTCTGCCTTACTTATTCAGTAATCCCAGCCCCCTAAAAATGAACCCGATCAGTGGATTGAATATACATTGACCCTAAAAGCAGATTTGGGAAAAAGACAGTCTGAAGCTTCCTTCCTTTGACCTGCTGAGAAGAAAAAGCTTCCCCTTCTGAGAATCATGTCCCAGGCCTAGGAAATGTAGTGTTGATGAAGGAAATCATTCCTGCTTGTCCCTAAATCATCCAACCCTCTTCAGGACTCTTTTGCTGTGCAGGGACTGTCACCTCCAGAAATTTCTGAGACCCACCCAGCTTTCACCATTTTGTTTTCCCTATCAGCATGGTGGAATGGGCAGAGGGCTGCAGGTCCTGGTTTGGGAGGAATACTATTCCCAGAAATCTCTCTTCCCTACCCATTCCTTCATCTTACCAAGGTGCCTGAAAGTGCTTGGGACTCAAGTTCATGGGTTGATGGGATCTAGGGCTTCATCCAAGTGAGAGGAGAGGGAGGGTGTCTGGGCGTGTTAGTTGGAGAGATGCCAGTGCAGCACCATCCTACAGGTGGCCGGAGCAGCTGGTTTGCAGCCTGTTCCACTTGGCTCTGAGCAGGGCTAGGCTAGCAGGTGGAGTAATGGGCCACAACACCCTGTCCTGAAGGACTGCTGGAACCTGGAGCTGTCCTGGGACTTAGAGCCTGATGCTCCCTCTTAGTAGAGGGAGTTTGTCCAGTGGTGTGTCTAGGGGCCTCTTCCCTGGGCTGGGCCAGGCAACCACCTGCCCTTGCTCTCTGTCATTGCTTCCTGCCCTTCCTGCCATCAGGCTTCTAGGAATAGAGACAGAGCATACAATGAATCGGGTAGAGAGAACACGCCCCTATTCTTGGGTAACGGATGTTGAAATTATGAACATACTCCAGGTTCCTGAGATGGGTGGAGTGGAGCAGCAGAAGGCCATCTGCCTCCCGCAGGGGAGTCTCATGGCTCGCTGCGTAGGAGAGGCAGCTCTAGCCTCTTCTCTCTGCATCTTCACCTTATCATGGTTGGCCTTGTCATAGGCGGCAGCTGGGCCCCTTGAAGAGTGTTGCAGGGAGACGATGAAGTGGCATCTACACAGTGATGGAAGGTGGTTGTCTCGGTGTACCCCTTGCCTCATAGTCAATATATTTTTTTCCTTGAGAGTCACCAGTGACCCGAGCCCTCCTCACCAGCCTCCTGTGTCTCACCAGGCCCCTTCTCAGTACTGTATTGGCTCAGTGCATCAGGAGTGGGTGTGTGGGTGTGTGTGGGTGTGAGTGTGAGTATGTGCGTACCAATAAACAACCTGGTTTTAAGACAATGTACAAATGGCCTCTGGTCCTTTTTCCTTTTTAAAAACAAAACAAAAAAAACAAACAAACTTTGAGCTCACTTGACGGTCCAGCTCCTTTCAGAGTCCCAAGGGCTGCTATCCTCTGGAAAGGAAGTATCAATGTTTTCAAAACTTGTAGTTGATAACCTTCTGTTTACTTATACAACCACAGGATTGATGGGGAAGTTCATGTTTAGGTTGCTTGGTCCACAAAAGAAGAGGCCAAGAGAAAGGGGTGAGGAGCCCGACTCCCGGGCTTGATTGTTTCCTCTTTCATCTCTGAATCTCCTGCCCAGGCTTCCTCGGCTGGTGCTGTTCACACTGCTCCCAGAGCTGCTGCTGTGTGCCCTTTCAGCAGCTCCCTGCCACCTCTAAATCCCTGCCACCTCTAAATCAGGGTCCAGCTCCTCCTCCTGGTGGCCATATGAAGCCATGCATGACTGGGTTCCTTGGCCCTCTTCTCTGTCAGTCTCGAGTCCACCCAGCCCCTCACCAGAATGCAGCCCCACTATTTTTCTTGCCTTTGCAGCTTCAAGTCTTCAGGCCATTTCAAGCATCACCCGGGAGATAATGCCTGCCCTTCCCAAGCATAATAGATGACCAGCAGTCCTTAGCCCCCCAGCTCATAGCACATTGTCATGCTGAGGGTCATTGTTGTCTCCTGGCCTATCTTCATACTGGGCTGAGGACACTTCTCTAGGTCAGTCTCATTGCTCTCTGCATTCTTAGAGGTACTTATTCGAATAATTAACCAACCTTATCTCAGAGGGTTGTTAAAGGATTAATATTAGTAAGAGCTGAAAATTAGTGGGAATTGTGTGCCAGACACTGTTCTAGCCATTCTTTCTTAGTTTGTTCTGGTGCTATGACAAAATACCTTAGACTGGGTCATTTATAAATAGCAGAAATTTATTCCTTATCGTTCTGGAGTCTGGAAAGTCCAAGATCAAGCCAGCAGAGTGGGTGTCTGGCAAGGGCCCAGTCCTCAGAGATGGCGCTTTCTTGAAACATTTGCACATGGTGGAAGGGGCGGAAGGGCTAACTGGGCTCCTAGACCTTTTATAAGAACACAAATGCCATGCATGAGGGTTCTACCCTCATGACCTAATCACCTTCTAAAGGCCTGTTTTTATTTGTTTTGCAGAACTGGGCATTGAATCCAGCTGCTCTCTGTCACTGAGCCATAACCCCAACCCTTTTTTATTTGTTGTCTTGAAACAGGGTCTCTCTCAGTTGCTGAGGCTGGCCCCAAACTTGTCATCCTCCTGTCTCAGCTCCTGAGCCTGAAGTCTATGGGATTATAGGTGTGTGCCACTGGTCTTGGCTCAGGCCTGTTAATACTGTTGCATTGGGGACTATGAATTTTTGGAGAAACAAACTTTACCCATAGCACATACCAAGTCGATTAATTTATTTAATCTTTACAAACCTGTATTTATATAGAACAATAAATTTTAAGGCTAATATCACAGAGCTGGGAAGAGAGAGTTGTCAAACTTGGTCTTCCAAACTGTGGGGTCCTTGGCCACAATCCAGATGTTAAAAATCCTGACCCAGGACCAGGAGAGCTTGGCAATGTTACGTGCTTCTCTTTTAAGTGAACTCATGCTTTCTCCAAGCTTCCCCAGCTCTTTCCCCACCTCCCAGATGGCCTGTGCCACTCAGATGGCTTATCAATTGTCACGGGGCCACGTTTGCACTGTTCATCTAAATGGCAAACTCCCGTACATTCAGCATAATGCGTGGTATATCCTCGTCTCCTTTCGTGGTCATCAGTGCCCCAACACTGATGGAGCAAGGGAGGCAGAGTCCGTAGCACAGGTGACTAGAGAGGAGCAAGACAAAGCAACATGACACAGCCAGGAAGGGCAGACAGAGGCGAGGGAAGGTGAGGGAAGGTGCTGGCCTAGCGCATACGGGCCTCTCCCCCTCCCTTCAGAACTCATGAGCCTTGGTGACCAGCTGTCCACAGGAATGAGCTCTGAGGGGCTGGGAAAACCATGCCTTCCTCCCGTTGCCATCCACTGGGGTGGGGATGCAGAGGAGCAGGCTCATGTGGAAACGTGGGTTTGATTTGGGACATGCTGAGCTTGAGATGAGACCCCCAGCATCATGTTTCTCTTAGCATTTGTAGAAAAGAAAGAAGGCTCTAGGTTTCTTTCCAGTGATACTTTCCTTTCCCCCTCTAGGAATGTTCTAAGCAGACTGAGAGGCAGGGAGTCTGGGTCTTTGGAGGTCAGAGAGGAGGCACAGCTGAGTGGCCTAGGGGTGGTGATGTGGGTTCCCACCCAGGCCTAGGCTGTGCTTCCTTAGCAAAGTCCCCGGCTCAGCCCGGAATGTTCCAGTCACGAGCCTGGAGCCTGGATAGCAGGAATTTAAAGAAGTCCAAGAACCATGACATGTTGGGATGGTGTCTTACCCATCAACAGATATCTGAGTTGAAGGGGCTCCTCCCCTCTCGCCCTCCATTGTAGCCCCCTAATCTCCCTCTCCAGTTGGTCCAACCACCGACTACACCAGCATTAAAAAGGTTTTCCAGCCCGCCAAATAAATTACCTGGAGAAGTTGGATACCAAGAATGTTTATTGGAGTGTACAAATAGTACTTAAAGCATTCTGCAATTCCCAGTAATTATCTAAGAAGTTCCTGTTTCCACACTAACAACTGATATGCCAATTTCAAGTGATTCTTATCTTTTCATTCTAGTGTATTCCCTAATGTCCATAATTAGGTGACATTTGATTAACCTAGCTTGATTTATGGTAGGTGCTTCCACTGAAGAAGGAGATTGAGCTAATTTCCCTAAAGAACTCCACCTCATTATTCATTAATTGGAGTTTTATCTGTAATTCTATAGTGAAGGTTAAGGATTTGTTAATTTAACAGAGCTCCTTTGATGACAGTTGTTTATTCTGTGAAAATGCTGAGTGAGCCGGGCCTCCTCTGGGTCACTGTTTGCCATTCACACCTGTGCAGCTCCAGCAAATTGTTTCTCCCCGTGGACTTAAAGACTGTGATGAAGTAGGTAGGTAACAAGGGCAGGACCTGTTGACTCTATTGCTGAGGCCCGACTGCGTGAATATGAACCTCAGTTTCCAACTGACGTGATAACTGGAGAGGAATGGACTTTGGCAGACACAACATCTTTGTTTGTATGTGGTGCTGAGGATCAAACCCGGGCCGCACGCATGCCAGGCGAGCGCGCTACCGCTTGAGCCACATCCCCTGCCCAAGGAATGGACTTTGAAAATGAATCCTGCACTGAGGATGTAGCTCAGTGGTAGAACTCTAGCCTAGCATGTGCAAGCCCTGGGTTCAATCCCCAGCACTGTTTAAAAAAAAACTTCCAGCAATCCCAGAGCCCATCAGCTCCTTAGTGTTGTTGAGCACCCTTCTTCTTGGCCAGCTCTAGATCCCAGGAAGAAGCAGGACAAGGGACAGGAAGGTCACCATTGAATGATGCAGTGGAGTTGTATCCTCCCTAGGAGCTTGGGAGATGCCAGGGCAGAGGAAATGAACCCAAGGGGAGAAGAACCCCTTCCCTTCATAGTTGAGTATTTTGGTGGGTAGTGAGGGAGTGAATGTGGATTCTAGAGGCAAGGCATGGTGGCCAGCTGGTTGCCTTCCTCACTCTAGGGCAGGGAGTCAGGGCTAAGAGTCATGGAAATAACCTATAGAGCCTTTAAACTCAGTGCCAAACTCAAAAAGAAAATCCTGCCACTGGGGCAGATTAGGCCAACCTGTGGTTCCCAGTAGGAGCGGCCCTCACTTGTTACTTGGGACAGGCAGGCCTCAGCAAGAACCTACCTTCTACATCCCACCCCAAGTTCTCTTAGGCTCCATTGAGGCTTTGTTCCTATTCTCAGGCAGAGCTTTTAGAGAAACTGGGGTCAGGGTATTAGCCCCGCCCCCCTCTAGGTGCAAGGTCAGGAGGGCAAGTGTGGGGAGATGGCCCACCTAAGCCCAGAGCAAGTACAGATGGTCATCAGCACCTGATAGTTTAAACTGGGTGGAGTCAGTTGTCAAGGGCCCCAGAGAATTGAATGGGGGCTGGAACATACCACGCTCTGAATACCTGTTCTGTAATGATTCTGAAACCTATAATTTGCAATAAATCGTACAAACTTAGCCCCAAGCAGTTGGAGTTAATATATATTAAGTTTTTAGTAGGTGTTCTTGGTCCATTTCAATTCTAAATTTCTGTTAACTCCCCAGATAATCCTTATGTAATCTCTATCCATAAATCTTTGTTCTCAGTTTCCCACCCACCTTCCCCCCTTAGGAAGCCAATCTTCGAAAAACAGCATCCCAAATGAAGAGAAACCCAGCTTCTCTTCCTTTGATGGTTCTTTGTGACCCCCTTTCCCCAGCAGAATTTCCTTCATCTCTGAGCTGAAGGTAGGGGCAGGAATCCCCCTCTGCCTGGAGGGAAGGGAAGATGAGGGGTTGTGCTATTTGGCCAACAAGGAAGTGAGAGTATTTGCCCCTTGCTCTGATTTAGTCACCTCCCACTTCTCTATAGGGATTCTGATAATGTGGATCGGAGGGAGAGACAGGGATTAGAGAGGAAATCCCCACAAATTCTAGTGATACGCCCCTTGCCCTGGCTGTGGGTGCTCCGGGCATGTGAGCATACAAGCATGCTTAATTAATTGAAGGCCAGGCTACTGGGCTATAAAAATTAGAATGCAGTAGACTTGAGCAATATCTATAAGTTAAAGAGCAGTGGAACACTCAGAAGGTCTTCCTCTGTGTCCTGCAAGCATTTCTGTGAGTCTGGTCTTCATCCAGGCTATGAATCACACCCTCCCAGCTCCCCTTGTAATGGTAGAAAGCAGGTTCCCCAGTGCCTAGTGACCCTCTCAAGGGGGTGCCCACAGCGCTTTTGGAACTGCAGTCTTTGGAATCCTTGGAAGCCCTGCCCCTGGAAGGTGTTGGAATGGCTGAGTGGGAGGGGTTGGGGCTGTCAGTCACCCCCCTCCCTCTACATCA